TTTTGGGGAGCGTAAGAAAACGCCTCCCCCTTAAAACCCTTCCTTTGAAACCCAAAAGCCTCAGGGCTTGAAAAACACTCAGATCTGGGAGGCTTCTTCCAGCGTCCCCCGCAAAGAGGTCTCGCCCAACGCCTTGCCATCGCGTGCGCGCGCCACCTTGTGGAGTTTCAAACGCCGAGTGGCCCCTTCTTTGCACAGGAAATGCTCGTTTTTACTTCAGTAACCAAGATCCTTTAAGCAGGAAGTTAGGTGTGGTCTGTTGAAGGAGAATCACATTAAAAAATAATAAAAAGCAACATCGCTACTCGCCCCCCCCCCCGCGCACAAAATAAAGAAGGAAAAAAGGATGGTGGCGTTTTTGCTGCATCTTCACGAGGATCGTGTGCCAAACCCCCCTAAGTGAACGATCCTATAATAAGGGTAATAATGCATGACTTATGCATCTGCAGTCTTGACAAAAGGACCGTGTGTGTGTGTGTGTGTGTGTGTGCGTGTGCGCGCGCGCTGTGTCCTAGACATGGTTTTCTACCCACTATCCCATTTTTATTGCTAACGTTCCCGTCGCATGTTCCCGTTGGACCGCGCATGTTTTGCCTGTGACAGGGAACCTTTGCACATCGGAGGCGCCGCAGGTGCGCTTCGTCCGCAGCACCAAAACCTGTTTTCCTGGTGCACACCTGCAGGAGTGTGGTGTGTTTGTCTGTGTTACTGGAGACGGAGAGGGAGGAGAGAGAGGCTGCAGTTAATCCCCAAAGAGGGGGACTCCGAGGCGCGAAGCCGATGGACACTTGTTTTGTATATACCTTGGGGGCGGGAGATAATGTTTTAAGGCTGCAGTCTCCTTCGCCGCGTGCCATATTCATCTTATCACTGCTATTCCGATAGATCATCTGGCACTCAAGCTGTTAATCTTCTGTTGCTGTTACTATTTAATTGTTTGGATAATGTGCTTTGCTTATTCAGGGTGGTTGGGTTGGTTTATATATATATATGTATATAAAAACAAAAATAGGATGTGGCACAGATTACGCTTTGGATTTAAGCTTTAAGCATCTTTTTCATCGGATTATTTTTATTTTTCAGCGACATATGCGTTGAAAAGATTTCCATTCTCAGTTCTGGGAGAAAAAAAAATAAAATGCTTACATTTGAAAGTAATAGGCTTAATTTTTAAGAATAGGGTTTGACTGTTGTTATTATACGAAGCCCATAATTCAATTAAGGATTCCTCCCATCCCTAAATCTATGTACTGTTTTTTGGTGGGACGGTGCTGTATTCAAGTGTCCAAGCCCCATTCCTTGCTCCTTGTGAATACAGTGGTACCTCGGGTTACATACACTTCAGCTTACATACGCTTCAGGTTACAGACTCCGCTAGCCCAGAAATAGTGCTTCAGGTTAAGAATTTTGCTTCAGGATGAGAACAGAAATTGTGCTTTGGCAGCGCGGCGGCAGCAGGAGGCCCCATTAGCTAAAGTGGTGCTTCAGGTTAAGAACAGTTTCAGCTTAAGAACAAACCTCCGGAACGAATTAAGTACTTAACCTGAGGTACCACTGTATATGCATATATATATCACATTCCTCTGGGTGCAGCAGGAGTGCCATACCACTGAATCTTTTAGGTGACAGTAATTCACATGGTCGGCGGTTCGAATCCCCGTGGCGGGGTGCGCTTCCGTTGCTCGGTCCCAGCGCCTGTTAGCCTAGCAGTTCGAAAGCACCCCCGGGTGCAAGTAGATAAATAGGGACCGCTTACTAGCGGGAAGGTAAACGGCGTTTCCGTGTGCTGCTCTGACTCGCCAGAGCAGCTTCATCACGCTGGCCACGTGACCCGGAAGTTTCTGCGGACAGCGCTGGCTCCCAGCCTCTAGAGTGAGATGAGCGCACAACCCTAGAGTCTGTCAAGACTGGCCCGTACGGGCAGGGGTACCTTTACCTTTAATGGCCTCTCTGTGGTGGCAGTGAACAGGAAGTGATGCAAATCCCACCCCTCCAGCCCTAGACTCTAATAATACGGAAATGCTTCTTTTTAAAACACTCCCTAACTTAGCTGACTCAGCATACCAGCAAAGGTAGCTGCCAGACTATTTGACAGATTTATTGGGGTGACCTTTTGTCACCATAGGCAGCTATTGCCCCCATCACCATACGTAGAAAATCCCCTCGCCTCATGGCCTTTATGTCTTACAGGACAGCTATTTTCCTAGGACAAAAACCGCTTGACCTGGTGGCTGAGGGGGTATTGTTTACAGCCCCTCCAAGTGTCCCCATTTTCCAGGGACAGTCCCAGATTTACAGAAGCTGTCCTGCTTTCTGATTTGACCCCAGAATGTCCCACTTTTCCTTAGGACACCCCTATTTTCATCAGAGGGTATGGAGTTAAGTGACCTCCAAGCCAAGGAGAAAACCTTTAGAAGACATCTGAAGGCAGCCCTGTAAAGGGAAGTTTCTAATGTTTAATGTTTTGTTATGTTTTTATATGTGTTGGAAGTCCGCCAGAGTGGCTGGGGCAACCCAGTCAGATGGGCGGGGTATAAATAAAACGATGATGATGATGATGGTGATATTATTATTATTATTAATAATAATAATAATAATAATAATAATAATAGAATAAAGGTAAAGGTAAAGTTACCCCTGACTATTAGGCTATCATATTGATAGCTAGGTGCCCAGTTTCTGGGCAATTTGATATTTATATCTAGGAATCTGAGGGTGGCCTCTAAAGGTAAAGGGACCCCTGACCATTAGGTCCAGTCGTGGCCGACTCTGGGGTTGCGGCGCTCATCTTGCTTTATTGGCCGAGGGAGCCGGCGTACAGCTTCCGGGTCATGTGGCCAGCATGACTAAGCCACTTCTGGCAAACCAGAGCAGCGCACGGAAATGCCGTTTACCTTCCCGCTAGAGCGGTACCTATTTATCTACTTGCACTTTGATGTGCTTTCGAACTGCTAGGTTGGCAGGAGCAGGGACCGAGCAACAGGAGCTCACCCCGTCGCGGGGATTCGAACTGCCGACCTTCTGATCCACAAGCTCTAGGCTCTATGGTTTAACACATAGTGCCACCCACGTCCCTAATGATAGAATAGGACATCCCTATTTTCATCAGAGAAATGTTGGAAGGTATATGCATATATGCTATGCACTTCTGTAGTAGGCAGAAAGACAAGTTTGATCCTGTGCACTGCGTTCAATATGAGAAGATACTCAGGTATTATTTTGCTGACTCCAGAATTCAGCCTTTTACTCAGTAGTGGACCTTGGGGTCTCAAATGTCAGCGGAGACCTGTGTAGAGCCCAAACTCGGCGTGCTGCCTCTTGCTCCACTCCAAATCATAGTTGTGGTGTCCCTGAGGCTCCACACCCAGTGTGACCAAATCGGTTCCGGTCCCCTAAATCCAGCTCTGGACTGGATGGGAGCCCCTCAATTGAGACTGAATCCCAATAAGAAAAAACTGCTGTGGGAAGGTGGGAGGTTCCCATATCCTGGAACTAGGATATATGACTTGTTCTGGGAGGGGTTATACTCCCCACAGAAAAAAATGGGTTCATAATCTGGGATTATTCCAGTAACCCACTTTGTCAGTGATGTCTCAAGAGGATTCTGTGGCTAAGAATGTGTATGCCCAGATTCGACTGGTTTTCCAGCTAACTGTTGTTCCTGGGCTGGGATAGCCTGGCCTCAATTGTCCGTTCTCTAGTGACCTGCTTGGACTACGTTAGTGTGCTCCACGTGGGGCTGCCCTTGAAGACAGTCCACATTGGCTGCAGAATGCTGCTAGATTAGTGAATGGGCAGCTTGATGAGACCATGTGTTACTGTGTTATTAGCATAGAGTTGTTGTGCTTGAGTGAATTTTGCAAACTGTATTGATTTCTAATCTGTAATGGGAAGAATAAAATAGCACTTAACATATTAGGAATGTTATTTTTATTCCCTTAAAGTCCTTGTGATGTAGATGATTACACCTCATTTTACAGGCGAGGACTACAGCAAAGGAGAACATCCACCTGCCTAGCTAACAAGCTGTTTGATAAGTTTTTAGAAACCAGGCAAAGGTTTTTCTTCAACCAGGCCTTTGGCTGATTAACATTCTATTTCCTTTTAAATGTGGGTTGGTTTTTTGGGGGGAGGGGAGGGGAGAGTATTGGTTTTGTTATGTTATTATTTTTATTATGTATTTTGTGTTCTCATTTTATATTTTTATGTTGTGAACCGCCCTGTGATCTTTGGATGAAGGGCAGTTCAGTCATGCCTTGGATCCTGAACACCTTGCGAGTCAAACATTTTGGCTCCCGAACACCGCAAACCTGGAAGTGAGTGTTCAAGTTTGTGAATGTCCTTTGGAACCTGAACGTCCGACACGGCTTCCGATTGGCTGCAGGAGCTGCAGGAGCTGCGCCTTGGTTTCCGAACGTTTTGGAAGTTGAACAGACTTCCGGAAGAGATTCTGTTCAACTTCCAAAGTACGACTGTATACAAACTCAATCAATCAACAACCAGTGTGACAGCCAGTGAGCTATCAGGCCCAATTTAGCATGTTCATTGTCGCATATAAATCCCTAAATGACCCTATAATTTGTAGATGAGGCCTTGTTGGTGATGCAGCCATCGGGGCCTGCTCAGTTGGTGTTGATCGATGACAGAGGCTTCTCAGTGGTGGCTCTCCATTTGTGGAAAGCCCTCTTTGGTGAGTTTGTCGCCACCATTATTAACTTCCAGGAATTGGAAAACATTCATGTTTACCCAGGCTATTGGTGGCTAAAGAATACTGCTCATGGCAACCCTCAGATCACTGGATAAAGCAATGTTTTTAACCGTAACTGTTTTTAGAATGTCTTGACTGTTTTTAAAATGCTTTTTGAAATAAATTGGGGTTGTTTTTGCCATCCTGGACTCCTTTGGGAGGAAGGGCGGGATTTAAATCCAGTAAGTTTCTCTCTCTCTCTCTCTCTCTCTCTCTCTCTCTCTCTCTAACTCCTATGTTTTGTGTCTCCTAGCACTTTTTTATACATGGGACACAACTGTAATTAAGAAGTGCAGGATGAAAAGATGGCGCAATCAGTGCTGGTACCACCAGGACCTGACAGCTTCCGCTTTTTCACGAAAGAATCGCTGGCAGCTATTGAACAACGCATCGCTGAGGAAAAAGCGAAGAAGCCCAAACAAGAGCGCAAAGACATCGACGACGATGAAAACAAACCAAAACCCAATAGTGACTTGGAGGCTGGCAAATCACTGCCCTTTATCTATGGAGACATACCTCCAGGAATGGTGTCGGAGCCCTTGGAGGATCTCGACCCATACTACCTTAACAAAAAAGTGAGTCTTTGCTGTGAGTTTAGTGCAAGTCCCACCGGAATGTGATGGGATGGAAATCCTGCAACCTTGCAGCTGAATGCTTTTTAGCCCGTGCAACTTACTGACGCTTATTATACAATATGTTCTGTTTTTCTTAGTTGACTTCACTGATGCTGCCCATAAATAAGTGCTACATAGTAGTGTTTCTAATTTTCCCCTCCTCTGCATTTGCATACAGTGAAGCAATTTTATTATATGATGCTTGGCAATTGTTGCTTACATTATCTTACACCTAGAGAAGGGCTTGAAAAATGAATGAGTAAAGGTTTTACTTCGCTGCTAGCAGCACAGCTTCCTTTAGTAATATATTTTTTTTAATTATTAAATACATTTTGCAGCTGCCCTTTGGCTCCTTTATGTCATTTCTCTACAACAAGGGTTTTTACACTGCATATTTTGTTTTTGAGCTGTCCAGTCTTCAGCAAGGTTTGATTTTATTTATTTATTTGCAAAACAATTCTGTACCTCCAACATTAAGAAAAACTAATAATACCATCGTGGTAAATAGCATAGCAGTAGCTGTGGAACAGGGACGCGGGTGGCGCTGTGGGTAAAACCTCAGCGCCTAGGACTTGCCGATCGTCAGGTCGGCGGTTCAAATCCCCGTGGCGGGGTGCACTCCCGTTGCTCGGTCCCAGCGCCTGCCAACCTAGCAGTTCGAAAGCACCCCCGGGTGCAAGTAGATAAATAGGGACCGTTTACTAGCGGGAAGGTAAACGGCGTTTCCGTGTGCTGCGCTGGCTCGCCAGATGCAGCTTGTCACGCTGGCCACGTGACCCGGAGGTGTCTGCGGACAGTGCTAGCCCCCGGCCTCTTAAGTGAGATGGGCGCACAACCCTAGAGTCGGACACGACCGGCCTGTACGGCCAGGGGTACCTTTACCTTTAGCTGTGGAACAGTACTCTCAGAAGGACTAAGGCAGCTTTCCCATGATGCAGTGTGAAACTGTTGTGTAAGGCAGTCGATTCCATAGATGGCAGATGCTTCCATATTCAGAACAATCAGGACTGGCCTTCCCATGAAGCAGTGCGAAGCCGAAACGTATTCCACGTATTACGTCCTTGCCTCTGGGTGTTATTCCATAGGAGCAGGGCATAATTTTACCCATTAATTTCTGCTTTGAAAATGTTTAAGGGCAGAACTGTACTTCTCCCTCCTATGCAATCTGTATATTAAGCCCCGCTCAATGAAGAATCGTTAACTTTCAAAGGTTATGTCTTTCAGATGACTTATTGTGAATCGAGTTGTTTTACTGTGGGGAACAAATGGTAGGTTGCAGTTGAAAGGTAGATAAGGTTCCTCGCTTACCCTCTGCCTGGCCCTCTCCCGCAAAGTAAAAGGCAACTCAACCATGAGGATTTTAATCTTGGCTGGAAATGTCATTGATTTGATTAGACGTAGATGTACCATTTCATTAGAAACAGAAAGGTGACGCTTTCGCTTAACTCTGCTTAGCTATACATGGGCAGATGCATGGATAATTTCTGTGATTTCTCCCATGAACCCAGATCTTCCTGTTTTGAGCATAAAACAGCCCTCAGACATGGCAGCTCAACAGAAAACACTATATTAGGAAAGACTTCTTTTTAAAAAGTATATGAAACAATCAGACTGGAAGTGAAACATCAGACCAAGTCCAGCATTTTGCAAAGACAGATATGTGTAGGCCTCCTTTTGTTGTTTGTCCCTAGTATTCCTTAATTTCAGGTGGCATGCCTCTCTATGTGGAGGTTCCACTAAGTTCTCATGACTCATTGCCATTGATAGGCCTATCTGCTCTGATTCTCTTTTAAAGTGGCTATCTTATAGCAATGAATTTTGAAGTTCACATTGTATGAAGAAGCTGTGTATCTCCTTTGTTTAAGAGTAACCCTTTGGAAACTAATTAGTCTCTTGAATTATTTGTTCAACAATACAGAAGCTGGAAAAAAAAGAACAATGGCAGCCCCACTTAGGGTGGTTGTTGCTTGTTGGCTTGTATGTTTTTCTGCAACATGTCATCGACACAAAAATAGTGTGTTAGTATTGGATGTATACTGCACCATCCATTTGCCATTTTGCTTTCATAATTGTTCTGCAATATTGCCATATAGAGGGGCATTCTATAGCACAACAAAAATAGGACAATAGAAACTCAGAATATATGTGGTATGAAAAGTTATAGGAATTTAGCAGGAAATTATGAGACACGCACCTATTGCAAACAAAGCAGCTTGATTGTTACAAGCTTGGTGGATCAGGGGAATGCTGTTGATGTAGTGTATCTCGATTTCAGCAAGCCTTTTTAAAAAGTCTCGCATTATATTATTGTTGAGAAGCTGGTAAAATGTGGGCTGGATGAGGTAACTGTTTGGTGGATTTGTAGATGGTTGACTGACCAAATGCAAAGAGTACTCACTAATGCAGGCATGGCCAAACTTGGCCCTCCAGATGTTTTGGGACTACAATTCCCATCATCCCTGACCACTGGTCCTGTTAGCTAGGGATGATGGGAGTTGTAGTCCCAAAACAGCTGGAGGGCCAGTTTGGCCATGCCTGCACTAATGGATCCTCATCATCCTGGAAAAAAAGTGACAAGTTGGGTGCTGCAGGGTTTTGTCCTGGACCATCATTGTTCAACATCTTTATAAATGACTTGGATGAAGGAATTGAGGGGATGCTCATTAAATTTGCAGATGACACCAAACTGGGAGGGGTCACGAATGCCGCGGAAGACAGAATTGGGATTAAAGATGACTTTAACAGATTGGAGAACAGGCCGCAAACTAACAAAATGAATTTCAGTAGGGACGAGTGTAAAGTTCTACACGTGGGAACTTAGATGTTCTTCAGCAGCCTCACCTTTTGTAGCTCCCCCAAACCAGGAGCTGAAGCTGTTTTCTTCTAGAAACGTTTGTATAAGGAAAGATGGGGAGAAAGTGGATGAAGCTTGAAGAATAAAACACCTGCGAGAGGGAAAGACGTTGTGAAAAATTAAGTGCAAACATTTGGGGCTCAGAGATGATCAGAAGGAGCAACTTCTTGTTACTACAGAAAGAGTCCTTTATGCTTCCAAGGATTCAGATTAGGCCACCGACTAGCTAATCCTGTGGCCCTCCTGTTTTAAGTGAATGGGTCCAGCTTGCCTGCTTACGCTTCTTCAGGGATGTGCAAGGCTCCTGCTCACATCATGGCTGTCTTCAGAACAAGAGGGAAGGGCACTCCTTTCACCTCACCCTGTCTCTGAGCAGAGGGGAAGCCCTAGTTCTACCTCACCCCATATATGTGTATTCAGGATCAAACCTAGATGTCCCTTGGAACTCATGGAATTATCGCTTGCTGAAATCAAAAGGCAAAGCTTGGTGTAAAGTTTTAACTGCAGATTTCCCACCCACCCATTCACAATTTCTAAATGAGAAGGCATTTTTTTTATTTTAAAAAAAATGTGATGGAGCTGTTATAGGAGGATTGTGAATAAAATATAAATGGTTACTTGATTGCTGTTGATGGCTAAATGTAGACATGAGAGCACAAGCAATTCATAAAAAGAATGAAATAGGAGGAATAAATGTATTAGCGGCGGCAAAAACCTGGCAGAGAAACAAAACTTGCAATCTTGGCAGGCATGAAGGAAAACAGCCATTGTAGTTATGCAAGTGTCTACTCTCTTGTCGGGGGAAAGACAAATATCTCAAGTGCTTCCTATAGCATGTGATAGTAAAAGCAAACCAGCCCTTGTGGCCTGAGTTTGTGAGGTATGTTAGACTTGAACACATGCAAGCAATTATTCTAAACTCTTCATATTTGAATGCATTACTACAGCAAAGCAGATGTCACTGAAGGTGTGAGAGACAGCTTACCAGTTCATTCCCTCTCTTTTCTGTACAAAACGAGGATTGAAGGTTTTAACTGCAGTTAGAAAAACAAGCTAAGCACTTGCACCCTAATGCAGTCAAATATGACTTTGCTTCAAAGGCAGTGGGACCTTACAGCGGAATAAACAGGTATACTCAGAAGTAAACCCCATTGCGTTCAATGAGACTTACTCCCTGGGAAGTGAGTGTAGGGTTCACTCCTAAGCACACTTACTGGGCTGTAAGCCTCACAGAGTTCAGCAAACTTCTGAGTAAACCTGCAGGCGGATTCTGTTGTTAAAACACATAAAACTGCAAACCTGAAGATGTTGCAAAACTGCAGGCCTGAAGTTGTTGCTTAGGAACACAGGGAACTGACTTTTACTGAGTCAGAGTACTGGTCCGTGCAGCTCAGTGTTGTCTACACTGACTTGCCAGTGACTCTCCAGGATTTCAGACAGGAGACATTCCTAGCCTTATTGTGGAGGACGCCAGGGATTGAACCTGGAACATTTTGTGTGCCAAGCAGATGGTCACCCACTGCCAAGCTACCGCTGTGCAGTTGTAGGAAGCCATTTCCAAGCATCAACAGGGCCGATGAGGTAATAGGGATGAGGGGGCCATAATAACAAGCTGTATCTATTCTGAATCCTCATGCTGTTCTGACCAAATGCCGCACTGGTCTACCTGCATGCAGACTAATCCTTTTTTAAAAACAGCAACAGCTGTCTTGCAAACAACCTCAAGGACAGAGCCGGTAAAACCCAAATCCAGTTCTCAGGTGGAGGCTGCATCTTTAAGATTCACACACAGTGGTCTTTCAGGTCCTGGCTGGAAGTTAAATCCAGTGCCGTGCAGCCAATTTCCACAGAGGGTTAAAGGTAAAGGGTAAAGGGACCCCTGCCCATTAGGTCCAGTCGTGACCGACTCTGGGGTTGCAGAGCTCATCTCGCTTTATTGGCTGAGGGAACCGGCATACAGCTTCTGGGTCATGTGGCCAGCATGACTAAGCCACTTCTGGTGAACCAGTGTTGCGCACGGAAACGCCGTTTACCTTCCCTCTGGAGCGGTACCTATTTATCTACTTGCACTTTGACGTGCTTTCGAACTGCTAGGTTGGCAGGAGCAGGGACCGAGCAATGGGAGCTCACCCCGTCACGGGGATTCAAACCGCCGACCTTCTGATCAGCAAGTCCTAGGCTCTGTGGTTTAACCCACAGCGCCACCCACGTCCCTGCCACAGAGGGTTACATAAGAATATAAAAACAGAAGAGCCCCACTGGATCAGGCCAATGGTCCATCCAGACCAGCATCCCGTTCTCACTGTGGCCAACTAGATGCCTATGTGATTCCCAGCAACCGGTATGCAGAAGCAGTTTGCCTCTGACACAGGAGGTAATATAGCCATTGATGGCCTTACCCTCCACAGATTTCTCTAATCCCATTTTAAAACCAACCTGGTGTCAATCACTAGGTGTTGTGAAAGCAGATTTCATAATTTCACTATACGCTGTGTGGTGAAGTCCCTCCTTAAGCATTAAGTTAGTCGTGACTAATGTAAATCCATCGTTTTCAACTGATCTAACTCTGACTCTGACTTTTGGGCTGCAGCCCAGGATGCTTAAAAGTCACTGGGTCCTTGCATTGTTTTCCATACCAGGTGTCGCCAAGGAGAACAGCGATATTACATTTATATTTGTAAAGTTATTTTTAGGCTGCCTTTTTAGGCATTGGCCCACGCATAAAAACACAATGCATCTGAAAACAAAAACTAGGTGTTTTAAATGGCAGCAGTACAAAATTGTTTTAAAATATAGGCCACTTTAGAAAACAAACTAAAACGGCAGTGTGGATTCTAGCAGCTAAAAAAGTATGCATTCTAAAAAACAAAAAAGGTCTCTAGGTTAAAATATATATAGGCCTAAGTTTTGGGGGGGGGCAGCGGAGTCTGAAATAAATAGTTGTTGTTTTTTTATTCACCAAGATTTGCAGAGTTAAAGCCACGTGAACTTTGAGGAGAGAGTATTCTCCTTCTACATGTGACCAGAAGTCTGGAGAATAGTTTTGTTGTTTAGTCATCTCAGTCATGTTCGACTCTCTGTGACCCCATGAACCAGAGCGTGCTTTGGAAGCTCTTGCTTTCTTCTCAAAGCTTCTCCTTTTTTATGTCCATGGAGTTTTCTTGGCAAAATACCAGAGTGGTTTGCCAGTTCCCTCTCCAGGTAGATCACATTTAGTTTAAGCTCTCGTCTATGACCTGTCCGTCTTGGGTGGCCCTGCATGGCATAGCTCATAGCTTCTCTGAGTTATTCAAGCCCCTTCACCACAACAAGGCAGTGATCCATGGAGTGCAGTGCTAAATCATGAGGTTCAGGAGCTTATCATGACAGCCTCCGTAGTCAAGGAAGCAGCAGCGTCACGTGAGGACAGGCAGTGGCATCCTCCTGCAGTGGTGATGCCACTGGTGAGGATGGATGGGCTGAAGTGGCAGTGAGGTTGGAGGAACTCTGGGTTGCTGTGATTGGCCCACAGGTAAATGCAGCCCTCCCCATACTGGTGAACACAGCGCTACTGGGAGCATCACTGCCACTGTTCCTCCCTCATGCGCTGCTGCTGCTGCAAGGAAGTGCTACCGTTTAAATTGCCCACATGAAGTTGAAACCCCAGCAAAGAAAAGAAGTATCCGTCCTCTGCTTGGTTATTTTTCTCATTCATATTTGCTCACTGTGTGCCAATCTGTCACAAGCCTCATCAGTGTACCCCCATTCATTGACCAGAGCAAGGAGGGTCTGTTAGTTACTTTGGTGCTGCGGTGGCAGATGATATCAGTGCTCCTACTCTCAGGAGGGGAAGGCTCTGAAGAAGAGAAGTCGTAATGTTCTCGTAGGTCAGGCAGAAAAAAAGCATCCGCTGTCCAGATAGTTTTATACAGTTGGTGTATGATTGATTAGCTGAATTCGCCTCAGATCAAGTGTTAAAATGTGTGGCACTATTCACTACACTGCTTGGCAGCTTTGTGAAAGTGGCCAGCTTATAAATGGTCATTTACACTCATCAGGTAGCAGATCTAGGCCATCCTGATAATTCTGTGTAGTAGATAGCGGACATAAGCCGCCTTCCGTTCTCCATTCTGTGTAGGTTGCCAGCATTTTAAAATTTCATCTTAAGAGGGAACGTGACTGGAGCTCACCTAGTTATGTGATAAGGAAACAGAACTCATATTCTGAGTCCTTGAATATTTCTAAAGGAACCCAGAGCAGGGTCCAGGATAGTGTTCATAACAAAACACTCCCAGAACATTATTTTACAGCAAAAGCCCCTTAACGTGCTATATAGCTTAATGCTTAATTAACCCGGATGCTGTGAGAAGTGTTTCTTCTAATCCACAAGACAGGAGGTTGCTTAGGCAACCAGACTGACTTGATATCTGGTATACCAAAGAAGCCATCGCAGAGTGAGGACCGGTCATTTATGCACTGCTCCAAAAGTCGCTGCACCACATCAGTTACTTCAGCAAAGCAGCCACTTGAATTGCCTGTAGGGCAAATTCACGCAGGTGAATAACTTCAGTGTGACCCCTCCTGTCCGTTCCTTTCTGGGAAAATGAATTGTGGGAATATCAGCTGAGGAGATACCCAGCGGTTTCCCAAAAGTGGCCCTGCAGCCCTGGATATTGCAGCAGAATTATACCCTTTTCCTGCACTAGGAATTCCTTCATTCAGTTTGGAATACAACCAGAACAGGCAACGTGTAGGTTCAAATGTGCAAAACATTTTTGGCACGTTTGAACCTACACATTAGCACACACCCACCCCATTCATTTTTTTTTTACACATTCACTTTTTTGACACATTTGAACTTGGCCTTCCTAGCTGTTGAGAGCCAAATTTTCCTAAAAGTTGATGTTGTAACCTTGCTACCTGGCCGGGTGGAGCTGTTCGGTTGCAGTGCTGCACAGAGCAAGGCCTGGCCATTGATCTCAGTCAACTTAGCTGTGCCTGACTCTGAGTAGGACCAGGCTGTTGGGGAGGAACGGCTGAATGGCTGAGGCTGTTACCTGCTTCTGGTTCCATCTTCGCAAGAAACTGGTCTGCAGTCATAATGGTAGGAGGAAGCAAAACACCCTTCTTCACAGTGGCCCGAGGGCCTGGGCTTCATGTGGTGTGCCCCAAATCTCCTTCCCCTTCCAAAAAACTTTTTTAAAACAAAGTTTATATGGCAGCTGGGTGCACTGTAAAGTGCAGTGCTGGCAAGCCACCCACCACCTTAATTTCTCAGAGCCGTAATTAGCATATGCAAATTTTATGCAAATTTCTGTTGCGGACCAGCCAGCCAAAATCTAATTCCTAGTATTGGTTGGGAAGAGCTGATGCCTGCCTTGTATGTCTGGCTGTGCAGAGGAAAATGCCTTGAGACTGAATCCTGAACCTGATTGGTTGAGTAGCTTTATGGAAATCATGGTATTAACTGAATTAGATAGGGAAGGTTTTCTTTTGTGTATACTGTTCTCTAACCAAGCTTCTGTGTCTCTGTGTTTCAGTGCCTGAGTGAAAACACAGGTCAATGTTACATGCCGTGAATCAATTCTTTCCCAATTCTCTCTGTCCCTTTTTCTTCCAGACATTTATAGTATTGAATAAAGGGAAGGCGATCTTCCGATTCAGTGCCACTTCCGCCGTGTATATGTTAACTCCATTCAACCCTCTTAGAAAAATAGCTATTAAAATTTTGGTACATTCATATCCTTTTCAAGTGGTTACTTTACAACAAGTGAAATGGTGCTACTCTGTTTTTCGGTGTTATGGTTCTTTCCAGGCATTTGGTCCCAGGGAACCCATATAATCACAACATGCCCCAAGCAGCTGCCTTGTTCTTTATAATGGTAAGGATGGCGCTGCCAAGCGGGGGAACAGAAGGGAATCAAGTGTGGCAAGAAGTGTTGGCTTGCTGTTGAATTTACTCTTGGAATGCCAAGAATGCAAGCTCTACCTTTCCGTTTTGCTCTAAGTATCAAATGCACAAATGGGTATACTTGCGTTTGTTGGCTAATCCAAGAAAATTCTTAATGAGCAAAGCTATACCTGTGTGGAGAAGGGAGCAGGATTGCAGGGAGGCAAACAGAAGCATCTCACGAGTGACAAATTCCAGCGCTGGAGGGGATTCCAGTTCCATTTTTTAATTCCCAGTTTGCAGGTATCCAGAGGAGACCTAACATCCTTAAACTCGCATGGCTTGGCAGAAGCACTGACTGCTTCTTTGTTCTTTACAACCCTCACGTCAAAAACAGCTGTTAAAGAGAAGGGGCTGGAGTATTTCTAAGTTGAAAGCTAAGGAGATCTGAAGCATGTCCTGGGAATCCCTTGCACACTACTCTGAGGAAGGGCATGATGCAAATGTAATAAATGAACATCTGAATATGCATGTATGCGTCTTCCGTAAAATAAAAGAGCTCTAGACATTCCTTAGTTTATGGTGCCATCCTGTGGCCGTTGAGAGCCTATCATGTCTAGGTAATTAAACAGTATGCATTTGTGTGGGGATGTTCCCTTAAGTTATTGAGCCTTTGAATGACAGAGGGAATAATTTCTATTGCGAAAGTGAAGAGAACAAGTTATGTCCAGTGTTCGTAGTGATGTCAACCCCAGATCATTCTGAGTGGGGCTCTTACTTAGCCTTTTCCTCATCCACCATGAGTGGAAGCCCAGTTTTCCCATATGGCAGCTTCCCTGGTGATCCATTGACAGCAGTCGAGATGGGCTAAAGCCAGCAAAACATTTAGTGCTGTCTCCCTAAAGAGGCAGCAATTGCTGGCTTGATCAAACAACCACACCTGGAGTATCTAGAATAATGTATATATAGGGACATAGGAAGCTACCAGGGCACTGGTCCATTTCGCTCATACTCTCCAGAGTCTTTTCCAGTTGTACCTGGAGATTCTGGGATTGAATTTGGGCCCTTTTGCAGCTGCTTCCCCGTTGGCTTTTCCATTGTTTTCGCAAACAACAGCAAGAACATAAAACCCTACCTTATTTTGGAACCTTGCCATGTTTTGAACATACTATAAAATCTACCTTAGATGAGATAAACTTTTGATTCACATTTGAAACTAATTGTCAGGTGGCAAATGGTAACCTATAGCATACACATACTCAGAGTTCAGGTAGCCTTCATCTGACCTCATTGTTTTCTGCCTAATGTTCCATATTCTGAAACATCATTTTGAAGTTGCCTGCCACTTTGCTGAGCACAATAATGCTTAGCTGTGTCATCACCGTTTAGACTTCCATTTGCATCTTAATATTATACCGGCCACCCACATCCGACTCAAACCACTTGTTTCTACTTCTGATCCAGAAGTAAAATGGCTTTATCCTTCCTTCCTTGAAAAACAACAGCAACAATTTAATATTTCAGAAAGGCTATTAGAATGTCCATCAATCCACCTATTTTCTTTTAAATATGGAGTGATAAGTGAGGAGGTTATGCGATGTTCCCCAAGCATCATAAAAACCACAGGAAAGATTAATGATACTGGAAGTGAACCAGAATGTACTGTTGATGTATTCAATTTTTCTTACGATGAGTTCTCAAAGAATATGTTCCTTAACAATAACATACATTATTCAGCATGCTTATTATGTGCACTATTTTGACCAACTGTGTATTTATGACCATGAGTAACCCTCCGGACTGGACAAAGAATGTAGAGTAAGTTAAGTCTAATCACTATTCAGTGTGTTAATGAATATATATGAATATATAATGCATGTTTATATATATATATAGTCATCCAAGGGGCAGTTCTGTTGGCAAGAAACCAACAATGCTGGTTCTTGTTACACGGGTTCCCACATTATGCAAGCATGCATTTGTGCCCAAGATTGACCCCCTACTTGTTCACATTTTACACTTTTAAGCTAAAATAGAACTCAAGGATAATGCCTGACTGGACCATTTTCTGTGCTCAAGAACTGATCTTTGCTTCCCTCTGCCTCTTGCTATTTCCCAATTCAAAAGGCAATTAAAATGCAGAATGGTGATAGAATCAGATTTGTAATATGGTACCCAGGGATGTAACAACAGTCATGTGACTTCTTTCAGTTTGGACACAACCCAGTGTGGGTGGGAAGGTAAACCCCACACTTGCTGTCTGATAACAATGGCATGTGACCAAAGGTTGCAGACAATCAGCTACAAATTCTCTCTTCGAAATGTCAGATCAAGCAGAAACTATGCTACTGAAATTGGCAAGTGAGGAAAAGCTCCAGGCTAGAGGGGAGATCAAACTCTAGGAAGGAGGAGGAGTCACCTGCCCTTCTTTGCACACTGGTTTCCTTTTTCTTTTCTTCTTTTCTATTAAAATAGAATGGGAGAAATTTATTGGTTACTTGAGGACACATTGTAAACAAATCAAAACTAGCGGGATTGATATAAATGCGTGCAGTAAGAGATAATTAAGGGGAGGAAAAGTGGAAATTTATAAATATATTTGAATTGGATGTGCAGTAACAAAAAGATAGGAAATGGCCCCAGTCAAAGTCCAGCATTACCTGTTCTTCTGCTGAACCATCATGGCGACATCCACCCACAACGAAACAGCAGAAAGTGGTTTTATCCTTCTGAAGGGTCCTCCTCTATTTCAGACCCCAGGCATAGAATCGCAGCCTTGGAAAGGGTCCAGGGAGGACATCCAGCCCCACTGCAAATCATACAACAATATAATTCCCTGGCCTGTCCTAAGACGGTTGGAGCATATAAAGCCAATCCTGGCCCAACTGAACTGTCTGCCAATTAGTTTCTGACCCAATACAAAGTCCTGTTGTTGTTTTTAGAAAAATATAATTTTATTTTTCATTTTCAACTTTTACAAACATTTTAGCCAGAAAAAAACAAAGTCTTTACAAATCAAATTGACCTTCCCCTCGACTTCCCTCTCTTCTGCACACCTAGTTTACTCTGTTTTTGCATCTTCTTAGTAGCTGAGGAAGAAGTGGTGAAATTAACCAGTAAGAAGACATGTAAACAGTAGAAGCCAACCAGTCAGTCTTCTCCCTCCTTGCCTATGTGACTTTGATCTCTCCCAGCTTTCTGCTACTAGTGGTGGTGGTGAGGGGTAGCCTTAGGAATCCTGACACTGTGAGCATTGCATATAAATCAGCTCTGCTTTGTGCCCCTGGGTTGTCATCCAGAGACAAGAGCTCATAGCCTTCCCTTTGGAAAACAATTCTTGCTATTCCACTTTAGACTTCTGACATCTCCCCCTCCCCCCGCCACCCGATTTTATAATTGTCTGTTTTCTGTTGGGAATATTTTGTTGAAATCATTAATACTTGTTTTCTGTTAACTGTTGCACTGATATTTTCTTCAGATACACATTCACGGGGATTTATACCTTTGAATCACTAATAAAAATTCTTGCAAGGGGCTTCTGTTTAGAAGAGTTCACTTTCCTCCGGGATCCTTGGAACTGGCTTGACTTCACTGTCATTACATTTGCGTAAGTATTTGTTTGCAATATTTAAGGGAGGGGTATTTTCACTCACTGGTTACCTCAAGTTGAGACAGGGAGAACCTTTAGAGAAAGAGATATACAGTATTGTTGATTTTTAGCATCCCAGAATGGAGTCTGTGCTGAAGCCATATTAGAATTTCTGCCATTTGTATTGTAACTAACTCTGGCTTAGCCCTCTTAAAATAAGCTCATTTCATATCTTGTCTTCTTTTCTGTTCACTTGAATGGAAGCTACCTCTCAAGTTCCCAAATTAGTTTAAAATAAAGCAGTGTGATTTGCTCGTTGCCATTTTAATTTAATCTGAGAAAAGGCCCCCCCAAGCAAGTAACGTAAAGTCTGCCTCAATTCTGAATAACTGTGATTTGATTCTACAGGTATGTAACAGAATTTGTAAACCTAGGCAATGTTTCAGCTCTTCGAACTTTCAGAGTGTTGAGAGCTTTGAAAACTATTTCTGTAATCCCAGGTAAGAAGTGAGTGGATTGATGAAGTGTCAGGCCCCTTGTATCTCCAACTGTTTTTTGTGTGCTGTCATTGTGTTTGTGTGTGAACTCCCCTATTGCAGATATGTGACAGAGTTTGTGGACCTGGGCAATGTCTCAGCGTTGAGAACATTCAGAGTTCTCCGGGCATTGAAAACAATATCAGTCATTCCAGGTGAGAGCTAGGTTAAACACGGAGGCTGACCTTTCAAACTCCATTATAGATGAAACCGCACTTTTAAGCATAAGCCGTGTTGCTTGCTGCACTGTATAAGCAAAAAGAAAAAGGAAAAAAAGCAAGAATCAAAAACTTTTGTTTTCAGCGATTCTTTGCTTTTTAACTATGGCAGCTGGATTGTTATTATTTTTTTCCAAATCAGCCTTTGCGTTTAACAAATTCTTGCATGAGACATTTGCAGTAAGTGGCTATATGATTTGCATCTTATGACATCAAGCTTTCCGCTTTTAAATTAAGAGTCAAGATTAAGGCTTTCATACTGATGCAAATTTTACCATTTGTTGCAGGCACTCCCAACCGAAACTTGCTATCAGTTGTGTTTGGGTTTTTATTTATTTATTTTTAAAAATTATGCATAAATAGATGCAAAATGTGAAAGTTAGCATGGGCTTTTTTCTGTGCATGGGAATTTTCTAAAAATATGTCCTTCTTCTCCAAACCATCACCCATTTTTATTCAATAAAACTGAACATGGGATAATTGAAATAACTAATTAAAAAAACCAACACCTTATTTGTGTTGTTGAACAGTTCAAAAACTGACTCCACAATAATGGTTTGGGCAAGAGACACAAGCAAAATAAAACAATATACTTTTCTACACAGGGCTGAGATACAGCATGGATCGCAAAATTGCGTTTTTGCTTAGGCAAAGTGTTTCTCTGATTATGTACCACAGATACCTCAATATATCTGTTTTATTTTCATACACAGTTTCAAATCAGCATAAACCTAACAGCTTTTCATTCATGTCCACAGGCAATCAGGCTTTTTCATTAAACTGTCACAAATATAAAAACCATTTTGTTGTCATTCTGCATGAAACATTAACTAAGTCAAGCACATTCACGTGACATACAGTATATTTAGCGTGCGACATCGCAATGAATTTCCCTTTCTGTTTGCAGGCCTGAAGACCATTGTGGGGGCCCTAATTCAGTCAGTGAAGAAGCTCTCGGATGTCATGATCCTGACTGTGTTTTGTCTGAGTGTATTTGCATTAATAGGGCTCCAGCTTTTCATGGGGAACTTGAGGCATAAATGCCTGATTTGGCCGCCAGACAATTCTACTTTTGAAATCAACATAACTTCCTATTTCGATAGCACAATGGGCGATAATGGTACCTTTGTTAATAGAACTGTGACTACGTTTAACTGGGATGACTACGTCAGTGATGACAGTAAGGCCTGGTGACACATTATTACTTTTTGATTGATTGATTTTTATATAGAGAGAGACCTTAATGTTTTGCTGATCGCAGCTGGATTGTTGTCAATAGGCACTAAAATTATGCAGCACAGCCTAGGCTATAGTGCTGAAACTGAGTCCTGGGTTTGCAGGCACTGATGATGAGCTGAATGGCGAAAAGAAAAACACACACCAATAAATAAATTTTAGAAAGGGGCAAGATTAGACACGAACACACAAAGCATTTTTTAAAAAAGACTCCTTTCACACTGCTCCGCTCTCCCTTTCTTCCTGCCCAGGGCAGTCCTGCCCTTCGACTGCCCCACAGAGCCGCCATGTCACACGAGGCTAGACCTCAGTGGCAGCAGTCTCTTCTTCTCCTTGCCCTCTTCCCAGCAGCCACCACCAGCTGCCCAAGGGAGGAGGACAGCAACAGCCATGGAGAGTCAACAGGATGCTCCCTCACCACCACCATTCAGGGCAAGCGCCGGCTCATCCTCCTCTGTGAACTCAGTGGCAGGGGAAACAGGGATGTTCTGGGATCAAATCAGAAACTGGGATGGCTTTCATAATTCCAGGACTGGCCCTGGAAAATCAGGACACGTGGAGGGTGTGCTTTACCTATGCTCACAAAGAAAACTGCAAGACTTTGTGCTGGCGTTACTGAATGAAGATAAATCACTTAACTTTAAATGTCTAGTCATTTTAACGTCCTTGAGTTTGCCTATGTATTTACCCACACAGCTGAGTCTAGCGCGTTGTGGGTTGTACAAGCTTTACACACGAGAGGTATGAATCACCAATGCATCATCCCAAGGCCATTTCTGTCATGAGGTACACTGGTGCAGCCCAGTGTGCTTCTTGTTTTCCTGTGACCTCTTATAATGGGGTTTCAAGTGGTATGACAAAAATGAATCGGTCTCACTGATTTGACACTGTACTTATTTTAGCACAAACTATTTTACAGCCCGGACCTACACACACACACACATTGCTTTCATCTTCTCCCCCCCTTTTCCTTTTGTATTATGTCTAGCAGATTGCAAGACTGCAGGCAGGAACATATCTATATCTATACCATCTATATCAGGCATGGCCAAACTCGGCCCTCCAGATGTTTTGGGACTACAACTCCCATCATCCCTAGCTAACAGGACCAGTGGTCAGGGATGATGGGAATTGTAGTCCCAAAACATCTGGAGGGCCGAGTTTGGCCATGCATGATCTATATATCTATATCTATATCTGTACAGCACTTTGAAAAATTCAGGCCCTTTTAAAGCACATAGTAATAACGATAGTAATAATAATTCACAGTATCTATTCCGAATAGGTCACTGGAGTAAGCATCCCAGTATATAATTTACCTTAACTAGTAATATTTATTTATTTATAAACAAACAAACAAGCAAACATATATACTCCTTTCACTAACTGGGTCCCAAAACAGTTTTACAAAATAAAAATGTGTGTGTATACACACACACACACACACACACACACACACACATATACATATAAAGTATGGATTTAACATTAGAGATCAAAACATCAGAGATTAAACTATCAAAGCAGTGTTCATGATGCAAAGACCTCCTGGAATAAAACAGTTTTAACCAAACACCTAAAACTTAACAGGGACAGTGATTGATTTTTACTAAGAGAGAGTCCCATAGAGTAGGACTCACTACATTGAAGACATGATTCCTTGTTGATGTCATTTGTGCTTTTGGTCTATGGGGGACTACCAATACTGTTTAATAACTAAGTTGAGGGGCTTGTGCCACAATAAATCTATTGGATGATGTATATCCCACCAAATATTCTTTTGGTGGGTGTACCCTCTGAGTGGAGTTGCATTCATGGGATGCCTCTGTCAGAAGGGAAGTGGTGACTTTCACAGGCAGAACTGGGGGCTACATGGGGAAAGAAGGAATTGGCAAAAATTACTTTATCTGCTTTCCACCAGTGGGAATTTCCACTGGATCATCTCAATTCCATCCATGAGCCTGTTCATAAATGCCTAGTTAGGATCCAAACCTTAATCGCCAAGATATCATGGGGCTCTCAACTTATTTTCAGTGCAATTAAGTGTTATCTATTTCTGTTTCCAAACAGATCACTTTTACTTCTTGGAAGGACAAAATGATGCTTTGCTGTGTGGCAACAGCTCAGATGCCGGGTGAGAGAATGGTCCATTACACTTTATTCAAGAGAGTGGGTGCGGCAGCTGTAGTTAAAGTAACTTTGCCTTTAATATCCAAATCATTTCAGATCTCTAGCATTTCGGGCTCAGAAGCCTGCTGTCTGGGTGTCAGCATCTACCTTTATGGGGATATGAAAGAGAGGGCTATGTTTGACATGGAGAACATGTGTTTCAGCAATATCTCCCCCATGCACCCAATCTTTCAATCTTTCAATTTTCTTTTTACACACTTTGAAAACACTCCTAAGATCAGTGAGAGGCATCTCCCTCACTTTCAGTACCTCTCTTAAGTGTTACACTAAAGCATGATAAATTGTTAATGGTAACACTTTATGGTGGTATGTTAAGGATTTGGGTAAGACAATGGCTAGTTTTCCCTAGGTAATGTTGAAAAGGCATTGACCCTGTAGACCAGCCTTTCTCAACCTGTGGGTCCCCAGGTGTTGTTGAACTACAACTCCCATCACTCCTAGCTAGCAAGGCCAGAGCTCAGGGATGATGGGAGTTGTAGTCCAACAACATCTGGGGACCCACAGGTTGGAACAGCTGTTGTAGACCTAAGTAAAGAACCTGCAGTTCAAGGCAGTGGTGGACTTTGGACCCTGTGTGATGCTAAAATTTGAGGGAGGGGTGCCTCTCACGCTCGGTTCAACATCATTGTTTTGGCGCCCCCTGCAGGGTGATGCCCAAGGCGGCTGCACCAGTCGTGCTACCCTAAAACCCCTCAGTTCAAGGATCACATGGGGCCCTTAGTTTAATTCCATGCATCCCTCCTTATCATTCAGCTCTCTGGACACTGTACTTGATGTGAAGAGGCAGACAAGGGATCATGAAGCTCCACCCACCATCAGATCTGGCTCTAACCACTATTGGCTGCAGCTCCAGTTGACTTTTCCCATAGGTCAGGGGCCCCTCATAGGAAGAAGGCTTCTGATCTCTGCTGTAGACCTTTGCCTGAAGTTGGCTTTCTTGAATGGTTCCTCCGAGTAAAATCACAGTTGAAAAGCATTTTCATTCTACTGACAACTGGCAGATTATTTGCTCAAGCAAACACATTGATTGAGATGATGTTTTGAAAATGTCTCTCCCCCCCCCCACTTTTTTCTAGTCAATGTCCGGAAGGATATATGTGTGTAAAAGCTGGTCGAAACCCCAACTATGGCTATACAAGTTTTGATACCTTCAGCTGGGCCTTCTTGTCACTCTTTCGGCTGATGACTCAGGACTTCTGGGAAAACCTTTACCAACTGGTGAGAGACTTTATATGCCAGGAGTATTAGCAATACTACAGCGGTTGATTATATAAACAGGAGCAGCCAACAAGGCACCCTCCAGATATGACTGGACTCAAATTCCAATCAGCAGTAGACAACATAGCCAATGGTCAGGGATGATGGAAATTGTAGTCTCATCATGTCTGACAGGCACCACACTGAGTACCCCTTATTACTATTACCATAGTAATAAGAGCAGTCTATTACTATGAATACTTAAGTGTATTTCAAAGCTCTGTGTTACCATGTCACAGATAGATCAATCTCAGGAGCATAAAATCAAATGTTTCAAGTCAAGGGCATGGTTGACCATCTTGCCACAAATGGTACAGTCCATAGTGATTTGTTGCATTCATGCTCAGGAACAGGGAAGCTGTAATAGCACAACAGGAGGAATGATAACTGGTGCAAGGTTAAGACCGTCCACAAAACCTAATGGTTTTCAAACCATACAAGTTGTTTCAATGTGCGGCCATGACTCCGGCTGACAGAACTGGCTATTCCAGCGTGCAACAGGGGGAAAGGTGACTCAGGTGCTTTAAAAAATGTCTCTGCTGAAGTGAGTCGCAATGTTGCATAATGACCATTTCGGTGTTAGTACTTTGCCTCCCCTCAACCCCCAACCAGCAACATGGCTGCTGCAAAGCAAATTGGCTGCGTACAGAATGGCTTATACAGAATGACTGTACAGGACCTTGAATTCCCATTCTGGCAGCTGGCAGATGTAAATAATCAGGGGGCCCGTTCTGTGGTCAGAAGTCGACCATGGCAGCTGTTCCTCTCCCTTTGAGATAGAGGAAGGACATCTTGCATTAAGCATGAATAAGAGGTGAGGTCTAACTGTACTAACTGGTGTGTATATCCACTTGTAAAAAGGGAATGCAGCGGTTGTTATTACAGCCTCTTATTTACTACATAGTTTGACATGTGAACTTGTACATATAGCTCACGCACATAAGACCAGCATGTATCAGTACACTTAAGTTTCTTAACCATTTAACTTATACCCATTTTGAACATGTTCCTTGTCACTACGGTATAATAAAGAACCCTATTACATTTTATAGGAATGTTATGAACTGTTTTATTCTTTTCTTTCTTTCTTTTTACAGACATTGAGAGCTGCTGGCAAAACATACATGATCTTTTTTGTCCTGGTGATTTTCCTGGGCTCTTTCTACCTGATCAACCTGATCCTGGCCGTTGTTGCCATGGCCTACGAAGAGCAGAACCAAGCCACCATGGAAGAAGCAGAGCAGAAGGAGGCCGAGTTCCAGCAGATGCTGGAGCAGCTGAAGAAACAACAGGAAGAAGCCCAGGTATCGTTCTTTATTTTTTAACGATTTTTTTTATTGACTATTCAGCACAGGAACAAGAAAGCTCAGGTACATTTCCGATGGAAAATGTTTGGACAGTTTTAGCATAGCTTTAAGGTTCTAGCTAATCATAGAAAGCAGCCACCGTTTTAAAGCTGTAATCTGCATTTCAACCAGCTTCCCAGAAGATATTTTGAGGAGAAAGCTACCTGTTATTTTTGTCCATATATGATTAAAAATAAAATCCGTTTTGTTTTTGGCTAATTCTCATACAGGATGTTGTGTAAAATCTGTGAAGGTGCTTTTAGCATGTTAGCACCACCTGCATGTGAGCTTGAAGCATTTCAAGATGGCTGCTGGGTAGTAGGCATTTACTCATACATTATGACAAGTACATTAGATTATGACAAGTAAACCTTTAGGGTAGGGGTCAGCAACCTTCTTAAGCCCATGGATCTCATTTCAGAAGTGGAGACACTATTGTAGGCATATCCACTTCACTCTGGAGAAAACCAGACGCACCCACACAAGCCTACCCAGGCAACGTTCCCTCTCCTCAAAGCACAAAACCACCCACACAAAACCAACCAGGCTACATGCCCCGCTCTCAAAACCAAATGCCATACAAACACCCCCAGGCAACACAGCACATCCACCCACCTTACAAAATTGAAACAGGCAATAATGCTCGCTATCACCCTCCCTATCTACCCTGATGCTTCTCTGCACCCTGAAGCTTACCAGTTTGCCACTATTCCCCACTTCCCATTTTCTGAAAATCAACAACCAGGCAGCTTAGCTGAGTAGGCTTAAAAGCAAAGTACCAGCTCCAGCTGCCTGCACTCTCTTTCCTATGTTAAGAATGTATCTGGGCCCACATGGACGGACCCAGAGGCATCCCAGGGGCAAAAATATTGAAACAACTGTTGCTTTCTTTATTTTATTTTTAAACAGCTTCAATTGCCAGCCCTCAAACCAGAAAACTCAGTAGGGGCTGAGGGCACTGAGGGCACCAAACGAGGTTTTCATAGGAGCAGCAGGGTTCCCACATGCACCACACTGACAATTCCAGCATTAGGGCAAAGTTATCAGGATGGGTCAATGGTTCTAGGCCTTCCCTCGCTCAGTCACAAAATGATTGAACGGTTCCTCCCCCAGGAAAACAAAAGGTGGCTAGGAAACATGAAGTATGTGTGCTGGCCCCGGGGGGGGGGGAGGTACTATTACCGTAGCCTAAGTTCAGTCCAGAGTCATAAGCCGGATAGACGATCACAAGATGAGACGCGAGGTCCGAAACAGGGAGCCGGGCAGAGAACAGGGACGCTGGTAGGGCAGAAGCAGGAAGCCAGGCGAGGAACAGGAACACCGGAGAGCAGGAAGCCGGGCGAGGGACAGGAACACCGGAGAGTCAGGAGTAGGAAGCCAGGTGAGGAACAGGAACACCGGAGAGCAGGGAGCCGGGCGAGGAACAGGAACCCCGGAGAGTCAGGAGCAGGAAGCCAGGCGAGGAACAGGCACACTGGAAGTGCAGATCTAGGACTGGGTAAGAGAAGGTACTCCACAACGACGTTGCTCCCGCAACCTGGGACCGGGCTGACTGACCTTTATCTTCTTCTAAGGCCAGGGGCGGTCCCGGCCCCCAGGAGCCCTGCCTCTCCTGGCCTTAAGGCGAGCACTCCTCCTGGGAGAAACCAGTTCCCTTCGCCTCTCTGCCCTAAGCCTCTGCAGTTCAGGAGAGGCCGAAGGGTTACTGGGCCCCAGGGGAGGCTCACCTGTAGACACTGAGTCCTCAAGCACCTCTGGGGCCAGAATGGTTTCACCTGGTACCTGCTCCTGAGGATCTGTCACAGGTGCAGGCTCCTCAGAATCTAGGCTTTGCCCCAGTTCAGCCGGCCCTGGAGGCGGGGACTCCTGTGCCGGCTGGGATTCCTCCGGTTCACTCTCAGACTCGGAATCCCAGGCCATCACAGTATGTTTTCTACACTGCAGTAAAGCTGGAATCTAATTTGGTTTCATTTATTTTGTTTTACCCACGTTGCCCTTCTGTTAAAAAAGAAAAATAATAAGAAGAAAAGAACAGATTGTGAAGCCTAGGCTAAGAAACAAGAATAGGCGTGGCAATTTCTTTTTCATGCTGCAAAGGACTTCTGTCTCCCACATGTTTAGGGGCCAGGTTCAATACTCTTTTACACTCTTATTCCGTGGAGAGTTATGCTCACAAGAGGAAGGAAGGTGCACACCGTTGCTCTGGAGAGTATTTTTCTTCTCTTGTAGGGCAAGACAGTCATGCTGAGAATTAGGCACCACACTTCCTCTTGTGAGCAGCTTTCAAGGAATGAGGCATTTGCAGTGATTCTAGCCTGCTGGGTTTAAATCCTGGTGCCTGGGACAGTGACTAAGGCCTCTTCATCCCTTACCCATAAGGAAAGATTCCTCAAGTGAAATTCAGCCATGTTAGGGTGTACCTTGTGAGGGCAAGCTCCGCCATGTGGCAGGGTGGCATAGCCTGTTTCAGGTGGCGCCATGAGTGGGGGGATAGATGAAGGCAGGAACTGGTCTCTAAATGTTGCACAATACTTTTTAAAGTGTTGGCCAGAGCCTGGGTGCCCCTCGCTTCCGGCAGAAACATGCCAGCACCAAATTTTCTGAGGTAAATTTGGCGAGGTCCTGGAAGGCCTTTTGGAATTTGAAATTTGCTATATTGCCTTGTTGAGATGCTTCTTCTTATGTAGTACATGTGAGGAACATCAAACTCATCTGCTTTTTTAAAAATAGAAACCCTGGGAATACAGTAGTATTAACGGATTAGTATTGTGTGCCTTAAATGTGTTTAACTTTGGTTTCTCAACAGGCAGCTGCTTTAGCCGCCACCACAGGTGAATCTAGAGAGTTCAGTGAAGTTGGTGGTGTCGGCGGGTTCTCGGAGAGCTCTTCAGTGACGTCAAAGCTGAGTTCAAAGAGTGCTAAAGAGAGGAGGAACAGGCGGAAAAAGAGGAAGCAGAGAGAACAATCCGAAGGAGACGAAAAAGATGAGGATGAATTTCACAAATCTGAATCGGAGGACAGCATCCGAAGGAAGGGCTTCCGATTCTCTATTGAAGGGAACCGACTGACTTATGAGAAAAGGTTCTCTTCCCCACACCAGGTAGGGAGAAAGTATCCTGGCCTGTGTGTACCAACTAATATCGGGCCAGGTGGAAATTGCTCAGCCTTCCTCATGTATGTATATTAAGGGGGATTTTGACCCCAAAGGTCCAATGATTCTTTCCAGTCTTTGGTGCCATGGAATTCTGGATCAGCTGGACTGTTGGAGGGGGATTTCCAGCCGGTGGCAGAGGATAGAGTGACTCCAGGAGACATAGGTGTAAAAACCCAAACAAAAACGAAGACTTTATTACTAAGCAAATAAACACAAACTCTGGTGGGTGTTATTCCTGCAGGCAAGCAACAAAACTCAGCTTTTTTCCTTTATAGCAACGGTCACCTGCAGCCAATTAATCCCAGAAACTTCTTAAAGGTATACACACATGTTTCTGTGCCGAATGTCCTCTAACACCCCCTCTCATTCAAACAGAAACAATAATATTTTAAACAGAACAGAACATATTTACATATCACACACAGCAACTCCCAACTTTGCTACCAGTCGTGCATGTTTTTCAAAGGTTAATGCTTTTGTAAATACATCCGCCACATTTTGTGTACTTTCACAATACTTCAGCATTATCTGGTTCTGTTTTACATTTTCAGCTACATTTTGATATTTAATTTCCAAATGCTTTGATTTGTTTCTAAACTGGTCAGATCCAGACAAAGTTATTACGGCTTGATTATCTTCCATAATTTGAACGGGATAATCACACTGTACGTTTATATCCTTGAGGATCTGAACATAAAATTTAACTTCATTACATAATTCCGACAATGCACAGTATTCGGCCTCTGTTGATGATGTGGCCACGATACTTTGTTTTTTGGATTTCCAACCTATCAAAGAATCCCCAAATTGAAATACCATTCCAGAAATTGATTTTTTATCAGGCAGGTTGGCCCAATCACTGTCAACGTAACACTGCAATTTGGTGGAACCTGAAGATGGTAATCTTAAACAATAATCAAGTGTTTGCTTTAGATACCGGAAAATGCGTTTTAAACCTTTCCAGGCATTTTCTGTAGGACAGCTTACTAGTCTGCTTAGTATTCCAACTGCATAACTCAAATCTGGTCTGCTCCACAATGAAATGTATAATAAACTTCCAATTATTGAATGGTACATTTCAGGATTTACAGGTTCTGTGCATTCTCCTTCATTTTTGAAAAAACCTATTTCCATTGGGGTTTTTACTCCCTTGCAGTTTTGCATATTGTTTCTTTCAAGTAACTCCATTATTTTGTCTTTTTGACTCAACAAAAAACTTCCATCGTTTGTTCTTTGAATTTCTAAACCGAGATAATTTTTTACTGGACCCAAATCTCTTACTTTAAATTCCTTTCTTAGTTGTTCTGCAAATTTTTCCACTTGCTTGTCACTTTTTGTAGAGTAAAGCAAATCATCAACATAACACAAACACAATTCTTGTTTATCACCCTTTCCTTTAGTGTACAAGCAGTTATCAGCTAAGCTTCTTTTAAAACCAAGATTTTTTAAAGCATTATCAAGACACTCGTTCCAATTTCTAGCTGACTGTTTGAGCCCATAAATTGCTTTGTTCAGCCTATATACAGAATTCTGTTCTCCTGCCTCAAAACCTGGCGCTTGATTCATAAAAATTTCTTCTTGCAGATTTGCGTTAAGATAAGCTGTTTCAATATCAAAATGGTTTACCTTAAACCCACGTTGTGCTGCAAGAGCTAGCAATAAGCGTACACTTTCACTCCTTGCAGTAGGAGAAAAGGTTTCATCAAAGCTTTCACCTTTTCTTTGAGTAAAGCCTTGTGCTACCAGTCTGGCTTTGTACTTAACATCACCATCTGCCAAGTGTTTTATTTTATACACCCATCTACAGCCCACTGCCTTTTTTCCTTCTGGCAATGGCTCAATGGTAAAGACATTGTGTTCTGCTAAAGATTTCATTTCTGCTTTCATTGCATTTTTCCACCTTACTATTTCCTGGTGTGGTAACTTTAAAACTTCCTCATAATCACGAGGTTCCTTTTTCACATCAACAGTTTTAGCTTCTTGTATAGTAAACCTTTCTGGAGGTACCCCCTTATTGCTTCTTTGTGACCTTCTAACTTGAACACTCTCCCCCTCTGAACTATCTTCCCCTTCTGATTTATCCTGCTCAGGAGAAATTGGTTCAGCTTTAGGAGATTGTGTACTGGGATCCTCATCCCCTGAATCCTCATCACTGTCACTTTCAGAACTTTCTTTAATTTGTGGCTTTTCTTCCTCAGATTTCACAAATTTATCTGTATCATCAGAAGATAACATAACTTCTGAATTTCCATGTAAACGAACCCAACCATCTTGCTCACAAAACTCTGCATGTCTTGATATTACAACTCTGCCACGCCCTAGTGCAAAACGATACCCCTTTGACCAAGTTTGATAGCCAACAAACCTAAGTTTCTTTGCCTTGTGCTCTCCTTTCCTTCTCTGTCCTTTTGGGATGTGAACCCAGGCCCAGCAACCAAAAGCTTTAACATGGTCCAAAAAGGGTTTTTTTTCCATAAAGCAAAAAATGAGGGGTGTTGTTTATGGTAGAATGAAACAATCTGTTCTGTATGTAGTTAGCACACAGAATTCCTTCCCCCCAATACTTCCTGGATAGGCCAGAATCACATAGCATTGAATCTAGCATTGTTTGTAAAGATCTTATCTTGCGTTCTGCAACTGAATTTTCTTCAGGCGAAAAAGGACACGATTTACGGTGACAAATACCATGCTTTTTCAACCAAACTTGGAGGGCTTCAGACATGAACTCGCCTCCACGGTCACTTTGCAACTGGGTAACTTTGTAAGGAAACTGCCTTTCTATATAGTTGATCCAATTCTTAATCAGTTGACCAGTTTCACTTTTGTGTTTTAACAAATATACCCAAGTATACCGGCTATAATCATCCACAAGAACCAAAAAAAACTTTGCTCCTCCTTCAGACTCTGCAAATGGCCCACAAAGGTCTGAATGTACTAAAGCAAATGGCCTCTTGCTAATTCTAGTACTTTCAGGATAAGACCCTCGCTTACTTTTAGACTCCTTGCAGGTATTGCAGTCTAGAAAAACTGAACATTTTTTCATTTTAATTCCCTTGCTTAATTCTGGCATTTTTGCAATACTGCGGAAATTGGCATGCCCCAAACGACGATGCCACAGATGCTGGCACTCATCATGCAAGGCTCTATTACAGGCTTTAACACATGCCCCAGACTCACTTACTAGCTGGTCTTTCAAAACAAACAAACCATTTTGTAGCGACGCTGTAACCACTTTTCCAGCTTTCTCTATTCTACAGCCTGAACCAGAAAAGGTTACTTTAAATCCCTGCTTAACAAGACTTGTAACTGAAAGCAAATTATTTTCTAAACTTGGTACACATAAAACATTGGTAAACTTGGTACTTAAACAGTTGATATTCACACTACCCTTTCCAGCTGACTCATGCACTGTTCCATCAGCTAGTACTACATTTACAGATTTACAAGGCTGCTTTTCTACAAGGGTTTGTGCAGACTTAACAAAAATGTTTGTCGCTGCTGAGTCTAAAATCCAGTCTTGTCCAACGTCGTGACTGGTGCCTCGAACTGCTGCAGAAACATACTGGATTCGATTCTTCCTGCCTCCTCGCTTCCCAGCAAACGCAGGCCGCCCTTGTCTTGTATTTTCTCCCACAGACACAGTGCACTGTCGTACTAAATGCTTGGTTGACCCACAACGATAGCATCTTCTGACTGTGAACGCTGCTTCCTCTCTGTGGTCTACAACCTCTTTAGGTTGCCGCTCCTCATCAGTTGCATATCTTTTACTGGACTGCCTCCCATTTCTGGAGTTACAGTGAGGGGTTGTGGCCTTCCTCTCATGGCGTCTTTCCTCCTCATCAAGCAAACGGCCAGTTAAGAAATGCATTGTTAATTGGCTTTCTGGGATTGCTTCCAGAGTCATCACTAAATTGTCCCATGACTCAGGAAGTGAAGACAGCACAATATAAACCTTTCTCTGTTCAGAAAAATGTTCCCCAAGTTCATTTAACTGTGAAAATAAATCACGCATTCTTTGAAGATGTGTTGAAACACATTCACCCTCACTTAGTCTGGCTCGGTACAGAGCTCTCATTAGAGTAATTTTGCTGCCAGCAGTGTCTCTAATATGTATTGCTCTCAGTGCTTGCCAAATCTCACTTGCTGTTTCAAGGTCTCGCACATGAGATAACTGAGACTTCTCTAAACTCAAAATTAAATTGGCATAGGCTTTGTCCTCCAGCCTTTGGTCTGCTTCATCTACTTCTTCATCCTCCTCTTTTACAGGAGGGTTAACAATAACAGTCCAACATTGTTCTTTCTTTAAAAACGCCTGCATCTGTAAACTCCATGACATATAATTGGACTCTCCCAGTTTCTCTACTGGAAAATAGGAAGCTCCCCCTTGAGCTCCAGCTCCAAGTCCAGGCATGGCGCCACCCAGCTTTCAGCTTTCCACTCAGTTCTTACTCACATGTGGCTTGAAGAAATGTTCGGCTCCTGGTCCCAAACAGACACTCCCTGCCGATGCCTTCACACAGCCAGCTGCTTGAGAAACGCTGAGTTGCTTCCAGTCTCTGGGTTCTTTTCACGCTCTGTCTCTGCCCACTCAGGACTGGGGACTGGGCCCATAACCTGTTGGAGGGGGATTTCCAGCCGGTGGCAGAGGACAGAGTGACTCCAGGAGACATAGGTGTAAAAACCCAAACAAAAACGAAGACTTTATTACTAAGCAAATAAACACAAACTCTGGTGGGTGTTATTCCTGCAGGCAAGCAACAAAACTCAGCTTTTTTCCTTTATAGCAACGGTCACCTGCAGCCAATTAATCCCAGAAAGGGATTCTTAAAGGTATACACACATGTTTCTGTGCCGAATGTCCTCTAACAGGACATGGACTGATCTGTTCGTTTCAGTTTCTTTTAGCTTTTTCCAATCTGAAATTCAGTTCTCCATATTACAACAGCAACGTGCATTTCAGGGTTGCTGTATTTCAAAAAGTGAATATCCAGACACAAAGGTTGTTGAGCTTGCTTTTATTTTTTCAAAACTGTTGAGCCAAGATGAGGTTTTTGAGCTATTTTAAGGAAAATAAGCAAAAACGACACTGCCGATCTGGGTTGTCATTTGACATTTCTACCCAGACACTGCTTCTGACTGCAGTATTTCGGAAATTTCTGTGAAATTTTGGATGTATGGCAACCCTGTTTCAGCAAGACACTCCCTGAGTGCACCCACTTCATCCTCCTCACGACCTTTGCTGCTGTCCCATTCACTGACTTTTCCCTCTGGGCTTAATCGTGCCCAAAGAATGAGGCATGCAGATGGCCACCCATCTCAGTGCTTGCTTGCTCTGAGAGGGTGAGGAAACAAGGCAGCAATAGCAAGGAGCGGGAGCATCAGTGGCAGAGGTCTCCAGTGGTCAACAGTGACCTCTTTGCTGAGGCAAGGGCTTTAGCAGGTGAGCAGCAATGCCAGTCACTGGCACCATCCTGGGAGCAAGCCATGGTTAGCTGGGATTTTGTCTATTTATTGTTTCCCTTCTAAAGAATGGAGGGCGATGAGAAACAGTTCCACTGGGCGGAGACGTTCACTGTAATCAAATAGAACTGCCTAATAAATATTCATTTAATATTTTCCTGTGTTAACATTGATAAAGATCGCTCAGGTGCTCTGGGACAAGTCCCTAAAAAGCACCTGTGTTTCAATAATTCCTCTAAGTCAGTGGAGGGTGCGAAAGAGTTTTTCAACACAATCATTTCATTGGTAATAATATCTAGGTAATTGGGTTTGCTGATTACATGTGGTGATTTTAATGGTAGCCTGTTGATGCAGCTGCAATGGTTCTTTTGATTTTCCTACAATTTATTTTCAGATTTTTTAATTTTTCGGATAAGGTTATCTGTAAGGTTAATGATTATGATTCCTTCCTCCCTTCTTTCTGTGATGTTCTTAGTGTTGTTTCCATGATATTTAAGTGATGAGTCTTTCTGGGTATTTTACAACTGCTTTGTAATATGATTTGTTATTTTCTTCTTAATCATGTTCCAGTGGCGTCTTACAATGTTGTAAACATTGGATTTCAATGTACATGTCGAACATTGGCATTTCACTATGCTTACGATATCTTGGTCTTGCACACGACTTACAGGAATTTCTGATTTGGGGTTGCTCCCTCATTTTCCCTCACAGTCTCTGCTGAGCATCCGTGGCTCCTTGTTCTCCCCAAGGCGCAGCAGCAAAGCGAGCCTTTTCAGCTTCAGAGGCCGAGCAAAGGACATCGGGTCGGAGAATGACTTTGCCGACGATGAGCACAGCACCTTCGAAGACAATGAGAGCAGAAGGGACTCTCTCTTTGTCCCTCACAGACATAGTGAGAGGCGCAACAGTAACATCAGCCAGGCCAGTCGATCATCCAGGATGGTACCTGTGCTTCCAGCAAACGGGAAGATGCACAGCACCGTGGACTGCAATGGGGTGGTCTCCTTAGTTGGTGGGCCTCCAGGTCTGATGTCACCCACCGGGCAGCTTCTGCCTGAGGTAATAACAGATAAAGCAGCCACCGATTTGAAACTGTGCAATCATTCGGCCAAGGAACTTCATTCCTTTCTGTGGAATGAAGTTCGCTTGGACAACTGCAATGCGCCCTAGTGGCGGGCAAGCAGTGGCAGAGCTTCATGCTCTGGCACCGGGGGGTGGAGAGCAGGCATGTCCTGGGGCGTGGCACACCACCTGCGGGAGAGTGGCACCCAGTGTTGGTGGGGGAGCAGCCGCGATGGCACCCCACCAGGATCACGCTGCCGGGGAGTGGTGTGCTCCCCACACACTCCTCTTCCTCTACCAGTGGGGATAAGGTGGGGCCGCCCGGCAGGTACCATTGGGAATGCAAATGTCTCTCTGCAGCTCCCACCTTACCACCACCCTTCCAGGAGGGCAGTGGTGTAGCACTTTTCCACCACAATGGTTGCCCCTTCTTGATAGCATCAATGGGACTTACCACCAAGTAATATTTATGACTTGCAGCCGAAAGGAGATTTGGGTATCTTCATCTTCAGTTTGTGGGTATTCTTACGGGACCAAAGAGATGAGAACTGTTAACATTCCTAAGTTTTTTTGTTTTCAGGGCACCACTACAGAAACAGAACTAAGAAAAAGACGTTCCAGTTCTTACCATATGTCTATGGATTTTCTGTCTGATCCTACTGCAAGACAAAGAGCAATGAGTATAGCCAGCATACTTACCAACACAATGGAAGGTATGTAGAATCCTTCCAAAATCCAGTGGACAAAAACTGAGATTACCATTTAGAAAACAAATAACAAAATGTCCGCTTACAGTTATCTGCTTCTGTTTGGCTGCCTGTTATGTTCTCTGCATCTACAACCATCATTTTACTCTTCTGGTAGTTATAAACCATTATGTTATGGCCATTGACTTTTGTTCCCACAGCCATTCTAGATCTAGGAGGGGAGAAGCTCTTGTTTTACCAATTTTAGTAAATGTAAATACAGTTATAATACACAAATTATGATTGACAAACATGGTGCAACAGGAGATTCCTGTGGGCCAGAGCCACTGAGCTGCTAAGTCTGCTGAGCAAAGTTGAGCAGTGTTGAGTCACATTGATTTCAGCAACAGAGTTACAATACAAACCTATGCATACCTCCTCAGAAATAAGCCCCACTTTGTTCAGTAGGTAAATATGCATAAGGTTGCAGGCTTAAGGACAGACAAGTGTCAAAGACTCAACCCCCTCATTCCTACCAAGGAGATTTCCTAGGTATGCTCTCTAGGTTAAATACAGTTGGTGCCTCGCAAGACGAAATTAATCCGTTCCGCGAGTCTCTTCGTCTTGCGGTTTTTTCGTCTTGCGAAGCACGGCTATTAGCGCTTAGCGGCTATTAACAGCTTAGCGGCTTTAAGAAAAAGGAAACAAACTCGCAAGAACTCGCAAGACGTTTCGTCCTGCGAAGCAAGCCCATAGGGAAATTCGTCTTGCGGAACGACTCAAAAAACGGAAAACCCTTTCGTCTAGCGAGTTTTTCGACTTGCGAGGCATTCGTCTTGCGGGGGCACCACTGTATCATATTGATAGCTAGGTGCCCAGTTTCTGGGCAATTTGATATTTGTAATCTAGGAATCTGAGGGTGGCATCTAGGAGTTTCAAATATTTTTCAGCTTCTTCTTAGGCACTGCCAATTGTTTAGACAGCTAAACTTTGTCCTGGTGATATTGAGAGCTGAGGAAGTAAAGGAGGATTTTAACTGGCTCAGTTGAAATATCACATCAATGCATGGTTTCTGCTATGCATAGGTTAGGTACCCACACCATAGTTTGAGCTTCCAGACACACAACAGGGAACAATGGTTAGAGTGCTTTCATTTCCCACATATTCACTCCCATCTCCATGGTACAAGCGGCCTCTTGAGACTGCAGTGACCCTATCTGGGATTTGTCTGTGGCTTGGGGATTCAGATATAACAGCAACCCACTAAACCCAAACTGTGGTTTGCAAACTAGCATACAGCTTTGGTTTGATATCCTGGTTTGGTGAAGGTTAAAATGGGATCAGAATGCCAACACCTTAGTGAATCATATCACAAAACACACATTGCAGGAAAAAAATCTGTACCACATAATTATGAGTTGAATATATAAAGTGGATTATTTCTTTTTATGCATTCTCCTTTTCTCTCTTCTAGAACTTGAGGAGTCCAGACAGAAATGCCCTCCCTGCTGGTACAAATTTGCTAACATGTGCTTAATCTGGGATTGCTGGCCACCGTGGTTAAAAATAAAGCATGTTGTTAATCTGGTAGTGATGGATCCATTTGTTGACCTTGCTATCACCATCTGCATTGTTTTGAACACCTTGTTTATGGCCATGGAGCATTATCCAATGACTCCTCAGTTTAACCATGTGCTGTCTGTTGGGAATTTGGTAAGTCCTTCATAGTATAATAAATAACAGAAAGCAAAAGAAAAAACCCAATTTATTTCACTTGGTTAACTCTGTTGGACTTAGTTAGCTATCACCCACTGAAATAATTATGAAATTGCTTGGGTTGGATTGGGTCTGGATTAAGAGCCTAACTACAAATTACTTTAAATTTGCTGCTTGAAGTGGTGTCAACAGTTTTGAAAAAGTAAAACCAAGCACCAGAACTTGTATGAGAAAAAAGATTGGGCCTGTATGAGGAAGGAGGATTTAAGCCTGATCAAGTGGTTCACTTCTGGTGGGTTGGTTTTTTCCTTAATAAAACAATTTTTTTTTTGATGCTGTAGCTCTTCGTCTCTGCTCGGCAAACATTTGATGAATGTGATCATTGTTATCTGAGGTGGATGACAAATAATGTTTTTTTGTGTAGGTGTTTACTGGCATCTTCACAGCAGAAATGTTTCTCAAGATAATAGCTATGGATCCTTATTACTATTTCCAAGAAGGCTGGAATATTTTTGATGGCATCATTGTCAGCCTGAGTTTGATGGAGCTGGGTCTTGCAAATGTGGAAGGGTTATCGGTCCTAAGATCTTTCAGGCTGGTAGGTACATCAGTAGGGTTTCAAAACAACTCTTGATCATATTATATATACAGATTCATAATTTGATCGGTGTACAACAGGGCATGCCCGCCACATATGGAAATACCTGCCCCAGTCTTGACAACCACCCTAACCCTGTTGTACAATCATTTTGGCAGAAAGTTTTTGAAGAATTTTTTGCTGTAGTACTGGATATTATTCCAGTAGACCCAGGCTCAGTGCTGTTATCCATTTCCCCAGGAACCGTGCAGAATATAAATTACAAATGTGCATACTATACATTTTACTACTCATGAATTATTTTTTGAAAATTCGCTCAGGAACAAATCAGCAGGTAATAGTGTAATATTCTAATAGCGCACCCCCAAGCATGTTTGCTTAGAAGTTTAAGTGTTACTCATTCCAAAGTAAGATTGCAGCCTACAGCTATTAATCATTCAAGTCACTGAGACCTATCTGCTTTGTTCCCTTAATGCAAGAGGAGTAAAAAAAAAATAACTGGCCAGATCCAACTAAGCAGTTCTGCTAGTGGGAGACAGCACAGGAGCTCATGCTAGCACAATGGGGCTTCCCTTCCTCTCTTTTCACTGCATGCCCCTTGTGCCCCCCCCAAAAAAATTTTTTTGGGCTATGATGTACCCAAGAACCTCCAGAACACAGCACTGGAGCAGAAGAGGGAGGTCCTTCTGTCAGGCAAACAACAATGCTTATACTGATCGAATGTTTGTTTCAGCACAACATTCAATTCTTCCCATTGCATCTAATGTTTTCCATATTAGAAACTGGCTTTCAAAGAAATGCAGCACCCTAATTCTGCTACTAGGAAAATGTGCTCTGCTAATCAGATTTAGTCACTAGGAGAAGTCTTGCATATGTGTAAGCCGAAATTACTTAATCTGCAATGCAAGTATTTGATTAAATATTTTAGGCTCAATTACCTATGAATAAAAAAATATACACTGCCAGCTTTCATAAACCTACTTCCTCCAGAAGACAGCTCTAATATTAATTGAAATGTAAAGATAATGAACACTAATAGTGATGCCTACTTACTCTTACTTTTCAGCTTCGAGTTTTCAAATTAGCCAAATCTTGGCCAACATTAAATATGTTGATAAAGATTATTGGCAACTCAGTGGGTGCTTTAGGAAATCTGACCTTGGTGTTGGCCATCATAGTCTTCATTTTCGCTGTGGTTGGCATGCAGTTGTTTGGCAAAAGCTACAAGGAATGTGTCTGCAAGATCTCGAACGACTGTGAACTTCCACGCTGGCACATGAATGACTTTTTCCATTCTTTCTTGATTGTATTCCGAGTACTTTGTGGAGAATGGATAGAAACTATGTGGGATTGTATGGAAGTTGCTGGACAAACAATGTGCCTTACTGTCTTCATGATGGTCATGGTAATTGGAAATCTAGTGGTATGTATCCAACAAATATATATTGTGTCTGCAACGCAAGATTCAGTGTGTAGAGCAAATAACACACAAGTTTTAGCAGGTTTCACATGACCTCAGCTCTTATTGGTTATAGCTCACAAAGATTGACATGGCATAAGGCAGGAATCCAGTCATCAGGCAGTCCACCTGTTGGCTGATAGCACCATCCAAACTTGAGTGTATGGATGACATTGCAAGGCTTCTATGGAATCCGGGTCCACCAAGGTGCAAACCTATACAGTGTTCCCAATGTGCAACTCAAGAGTGTGGCATCTGGGCCAACTCCCTGAGTTGGGTTTGGGTTGAGGCCCAAAGCAACACTTCAAGACCCCTTAAGAGGTTCCCCCTAGTGGGGAAAAGGATGCCCATCCCCATTTACCTCTGCTATGGATGCAGCCCAATGCCTCCAGGATACAGTGGTACCTCTGGATGCGAATGGGATCCGTTCCAGAGCCCCATTTGCATCCTGAAGTGAACGCAACCCGCGTCTGCGTGGGTCACGATTCACCGCTTCCACGCATGCATGTGACATCATTTTGAGCATCTGCACATGCGCGAGCGGCAAAACCCGGAAGTAACGTGTTCCGTTACTTCTGGGTCGCCGCGGAGCGCAACCCAAAAATGCTCAACCCGAAGCTACTTCAACCCGAGGTATGACTGTATAGGAATTACTGTGGTGGTTAAAAGAAACAGCTAAATAAAATGTGCCCCCAGGAAAGGATCAATCTGAAATGCATCAGGCCTGAAAGAAATCTTTCCTCAAGCCCCTGCAATTCCTTTCCCTGTTTCCTTTCCAGTATCCATAATAAGAAGTTGCAACACGCATGTAGAAAAAATAAGGGGATGAATGCTGCAGAAACTTAGAAATGTGTGTGCAAAAAAGAATGAAGAGAGCAGCGGTGAACAAACTCTTTCCCCTCCTTATTCTCAGTTTAAGATGCCTTGTTAGTTTCACCTCAACAATGAAGAGGCTTCTCCATACAAAAGCTTTCTACTACATGTCCAGTACATGTTCTTTAGGCACGAAGAAGGAGGCCTTAGGTCATGTTTTGCAAATCTGAAACTTCATCTTCAGTAGTAGACCCTAGGACACATTCAGCTTAGAGCAGGGGTAGGCAACATGGGCTACAATTTCCATCATGCTGTTTGGAGCTGATGGGAGCTGGAATCAAACAGCAGCTAGACTTGGAAGCGTGACGTAAGGATGGCTTGGCAGGATAATAATTAGGATACAAAATAGTTACATCCAGAAAGGAATTATTGTCATTTAAATTGTGCAATATATGTAGAACCTCTTGTCGTCTTTTTGCCTTAATAGGTTTTGAACCTGTTTCTAGCCTTACTGCTGAGCTCTTTCAGTTCAGACAATCTTGCTGCTACTGATGACGACAATGAAATGAACAATCTCCAGATCGCTGTGGCAAGGATTCAGAGGGGAGTCGATTATGTGAAGAGAAAAGCATATGAATTTGTCCAAAAGGCCTTTGTGAGGAAACAGAAAGCTTTGGATGAAATCAAACCACTCGAAGATCTGAACAACAAGAAAGACAGCTGCATTTCTAACCATACCATAGTAGATATTGGCAAGGACTTTAACTATCTGAAAGATGGCAATGGAACCACCAGCGGCATCGGCAGCAGTGTGGAGAAATACATAATTGACGAAAGCGATTACATGTCGTTCATAAACAACCCAAGCGTAACTGTGACCGTGCCCATTGCGGTTGGAGAATCAGATTTCGAAAATCTGAACACGGAGGAGTTTAGCAGTGAGTCAGATTTGGAAGAAAGCAAAGAGGTACGTTTAGTGTTAATACACAACACCATATTGCTTCAAAATGCAGTCCTTTTAAATACATGAAGTTCCCATTTGAAAACAAGAATCTTTCCCATGGCATCTTAGTGTTTTACCACCAGTGTGAACAAGTGATATGCCTTGATATTTCATGTTTCCAAATGCAAAAGTAGAAGACAGTGATTTTTATTAACACAGTTGTTCATTATGGCAGTTGAAATACTCTAACCCCTTCTTTGAAGATTAACATTAACTTCATAGGTTTAATATTCCCCACTTCTTTATTGTATCAAACCTATATAATAAATGAGAATCAGTGGTAGTTTTGTAGCCTTGTAATTAAATTCCTTTATTCGCAGTATAATTTCAAAGGGCATATGGGGAAGATTGCCCACAGTTAATCATCTAATTTATCTAACATGACCTTTACCTCACTGAGTTCTTGGTGTCAACATGACCTGCCCTAGAATTCTAAGCTGAAAGAAGACAGAATATTTAGTACAAATATCTATGCTTTGGGAAAAACCATTTTTGGATATATACACAATAATTTGTTAAGTTAGCTTTAGCCTCCCTCAAACTGTGAACAACCCACACGGGATGCAAGAATGTGTTGGGGAATTTCCCCACATACAGTAAATGCCTGAGATGTAGACATTTTGGGTTAGGAAGATAACCTGCCAGCCACCCATTCCCTCAGTATAGATTTTCTAGCACTTTCCTCAATAATATTTGGGATTGAGCAATGGCAGATAGAATTCTGGGTGGCATGGGCTAGTCTCATATTTTATTTTAGTTTTGAAAAAACTAGGTTAGCGTTAGCCTTCAGCAACATGGCATCCTCCAGATGTTTTGGTGAAAGCTGATCTAAAGAATTATTTCAGGAATTGTGCTCATTGTCTGCCTGGCTGTTATATTTGGAACTGGGGATATCCCCTCTGCGGTCATCACAACTGTACCTAATAATAGGGGAATAACTTCCTGTGCCAGCACAATCTGCTCAAGCTGCATGGAATTTGTATGCTTGCATACCTCAAAACCCATTAGCTGCCACCTACTTTCAGACAATTAACACCCAGGGCAAAAACCTGGAACCCTATCTGTTGTAGGCTTTCCGTATGTGGCCCAATGTAGCCTGGTTTGATTGGTGGAGCAAGACGGTGAGTTTGACTGGTGAATAGGTCTGCCTTAGGAAAAGCTGGTTGGGAAAGAATATGGCCCCACTCATTCTGTGACCTCGTTCACACAAAATGATAAGGTATAGTTATTGGAATTGAGTAGCTCGATACACAGTCTAGTGCACATTGCTCAATCACTCCCACTTTGTTTCTCCCCTAAAGCTCTGACTTGTCATTATATTTGAACTGGGATTGTGCTTGTTGCTCCAAAGTTAGCTTTGATCAGCAAGCTAACAACAAACCATGGCTTCATTTGGGCTTGTTAGGAAGAAACAGCCCACAATCATAGTCCATTCCTAATGGCAAGCCAAGGCTTCATGGCTTGCTGGGAGCAATCAGGAGCAATCAAGCAGTGTGGCACCAGCACAAAGTTTTATCTAAATAAGCTGTTGTCCATGGTTTATTGGTCTTCGGACCTATGAAGAACAAAAAAAAAGTGTTGCTTTCCACAGTGTCATTTAAGATATTTTTTTTAAAAAATGAATTCTAGGCATCCGGATGAGTTATAATGTATTTGTTCAGATTAAGAAATTTTAGAAGACATTTATTTATTAAATCTGGTAAAACTATGTCATAGTTTTGTTAAATGAAAACAGGAGGGTTCCATTCCAAAGGTATTTGTGAATGTTCCAGCCTTGTGTGTGACCTTGAAACTAATTCCAGGTTTGTGATTTGAAAATCCAGTCCAGCAAGTCAAGGCAGCTTCTGCAGGAATCTCCTCTGTTTTAGGATCCAGCTTCTAATTTACCTCTGTACATTGCAATCAAATTCTAGCAGCATTTAACAGTGCATGATTTTGAGGGGCATTTTTATTAAGGCAATGAATACACCTTTTCCCTGTGTTATTTTAGATGACGTGCAATTAATACCTGTAAGCCAAGTCATACGTAATAATAATCCAAAATCAAAAGCAGAGATACTGTTTTATAAACTTCATGTCCTACCATTCTTACTTCTCGCAGGATTAAAATCAAGCTGGATCATTCAGGAATGCAGCTCTGGTGCTTTTTGTTTTTACCAGACAGAGCAACGAGCAGCATCAATTTTACACAGGTTACCTAAGCAAGTTGTTCTACCTCTATATGTGATCACCTTTTAACTGGATATGGATTGGCTTGCATGCTACTCAGCCATCTTCCTTCCCCCCATCCATTGCAATATTAGAAAGCTACACGGCTGCTCTCTGCCGAGTCAGGTGACTCGCATCACGGCATGGGCAGGCAGGATTGGCAAGTCCAACATTTGTAGGCATTCAGACTCTAGTTAAGCCGCACTCTTTAGTATCATGCAATTTTATAGCAAGAGGAAGAAGAAGAAATGCATGCCATTTGTTCAACCCGAAAAGCATTTGTTTCGCTAGGTGTAACTGGGAGACAAAGTACGTTGGGCAAGCAAAGGGATTAATTGCTTAATCCAAGGGTGGAGAAACTTTCATCCTGCAGGTCACATTATCTCAAAGGAAACTTGCTGGAAGACAGAGGCCACTGGTGGGCGGGCATTTCTGTACAGCCCAGGAGAAGACCAAGGGCCCAAAAGGAAATCCTAGAGGGCTGCATTTCGCACCCGGGTCTGAGGTTCCCCACCCCTGTCTTAATCAAGCCAAGGGGTATTTTTATACTACTGTACTTACAATTAATGTCGTTAGGTGGTGTGCATGATTTCTGAGTTTATAATGAAAATAACTTTATTTTGCAAGCTAAGCTGCACAACGAATACAAACAGATAACACTTCAGCAACTTTTCGAAACTTTGTCACGCAAAATGAAATGGCGGGGGAAATTCGACTAGCAAAACACTACTGCTGCAGGTTAAGCAACACCCACCCTGCAGCTGTATGCACAAAAAAATAAAATAAATACCCTCCACCAGGTGCTATTTTCATCTGGAGGGAAGTCTGTTCAGAAATAACAGTTTCAGAAGAGGGGCAATTTTTTTTTTAAAAAAAAGTTTTTTAAAAAAGCGAAAGCGGAAAACCTCACCATAGTCCTGATACTGATCCGTCCTATGTCTGCTATTTTAGTTTTTTTTTTAATGATTTACACAATGCCAAACTACACATAACATATAGTTTGGCCCTTTAAACATATGTCCCAGTCTTGGGAATAATAAGCACCGGGGAAAATGGGTGGACTACTTTGCAGCTATGTAAAACAGGACCTGAAAAGCATCCAAATGGGGTGGCACGGATCCTTCCACAGGCATTGCCTGCTGGAAGTGATTTTCCTTCCCCCGTGTTCATTCGCTACAGTGAAGCAACATGCATAAGTGTGTCACTGATTGCTGTTGCCAAATATTGGTGTCTGTGCCACTTGTATGCAAAAAGGTTTGCTGCAAATTAAGAAATCACAACTTCCCTCAATTTAAGGGGATTTTTCCCCTGTAGGTATATGATAAGCCCAAATCATTTTAAATCAATTTGTATGTGTTTGTCTTCTCATGCCATTCCTTTAATAGCTCCTTCCACCTCTTTCATTTGATTTCCATAGCATGGCAGGTTTCGAAAATCAGTTTTAATTAAAATAAGATATTCAGATCATTTGCAGATGCTCTGCTTAGTAGTTTTCCATTCCCACCCCCCAAATGCTTACATTTCAAAGGAGCATGCAAGTTATGTAAATTGATGCAAATGTGGGGTTCATGCGCAGTTGTTATTGTTTAAAACACTCTTATTAAGAGCATAATTAAATAGTCTTGTTTTTTGTTGCATCCCGAAATAATTCCACGTTGACCATACTTATTCCTTATTTTAGTTTCAATTTTATAATTAAAAAAGCACTTCCCTTTAGCATAGTCAGATGAAAATGGAGACCAGACGCCTGTATCTTTAATAATTGTGTAGAAGAGGGAATTTCAGCAGTGTGGCTTGCATGACAACCTTCTGAAATCCCCTCTTCTACCCAGCTATGAAGGGGCCAGTATGGATTTGCCCAACCTACCTCTTTTGTTATAGCACTATTACTGTATGAAACCATGATACAGCTACCAGCAAATCAGGTGTGTACACAAATAACAGTACCGTCAAACCTCTTCGCATTTGTAAATCTTGTTTGGTATATTAAAAGCAGAAGGTATTCAGAACCAAAACCAATTTAGAATGTTTCTAGATTGTGCTTATTTCTTCTGTTAGCAGCGTACCTTTTGATGCATCTAAGATGCCCCCCCCAAATACCCAGAATATTAAGGTTTGTACAGTATCTGAACTCTAATAAATTAACCATCCTTTAAATTGTGGCATATTTTCCATAGCATTTTGTTTTGGGGGGAAATCTTGCTTTATCATTACATTTTTCTAAGGATGTTTATCGTCGACATTCTATATTGCAAAGGTAGAAAGATGGGGCAGAAAAGTACTGTGTATGCTTACTCACTCAGAAGTATATCCTCCTGAGTTTATCGTCCTGGGCTTCTTGCTCAGAAAATGGGCAAATGTACATAAAAGCAATGGGAACAACAATTACAACATCCGTTCCTTCCAGTCTGATGTACCTTTAGTGAAACTGGATTTATTTCATTCTACAGCTCAGCTCAACACTTGTGACCCTTTGGGCACCACCAACACAAAATAGTATATTTCCTTTCAAGAGGTGCTACTATGTGCCCTATTACACTCTCTTAATTTTTAATCAATTCAAGTTCAGTCAATCAGGCCCTTCTACCTAAAATCTGGAAGATGTCCCTTCTAGAAACTGGCAAATTAACCATGTGATATTCCCTGTGTATATTCATAATTCACATCCTCAAAAGACTAGTGACATTGCAGTTCATCTCTGCCACATTGCTACATAAGGGCTGGCTGGGCTTTTTTAGGAGGAAAGGTAGCAAATAAATAAATAAAATAAGGGATGATTTTATATAAACCATTATTTCTATATAGCCAAAGGTGCCACAATGTAGAGCAACTCAGAAATGAAAACTCTTAATGACTTGCCTATAATTTTTGGCTCTGTCAATGTGTACTGAATGTATTTAACGCCTTATCACAAACTTTCCTTTTGAAGTACTGGAGATTCAAAATGGGCAGATTTAAAGGGAGGGCTTCCAGCATAACCAGTGTGCATTGTATAAATCTCTGAATGTGCCTCTGTTACTTTTAACACCCACTCCCCCAATACTGACCCCAGGCTTGCCTCATCATATGGGCAGACGGCACTCTCTGGTTTTAAGCATAAATGATATCTTTGAATAAGGCGAACAAATCTCGCGAACCTGGGATGCTTTCTCTTTCTGAGTTGCTTGGGTGCTGTGCAGTGTCCACTTCAGGCTCGGTTAACTAATAAGATTGTTATTATTATTACAGCCTGTTGCAAGAAACATGCCAATTTCTCACTGAGAAGAAACCTGAAAGGTTTAATTTACAATTCATGAAATGTAGACTTGTACCTCAACCAAGATGAATGTAAAGTGGCTGTTTGCGTTTCAGATAATGGTATCTTAGACTTTTGCCTGATCATTGTGTTTGCATGTGAAATGTCTAATATACTAATTTGATGAATGAACTACACTTAATTTCAAGGATTGAAAAAAAGACTGAGATTTGTACTTGTTTATTCTTTGGACTTAGCGCTGCTCACAAGTTACTAAACAATTTTTTTCTTCCAAAAAAAAAGAACAACCTAAAGATTTCTCTTTATTTTCTGAATAGACTCATCATGATTTTGGTTTGCTTTTTTTGCTTTTTGCTCTGCTAATTCTGCAGCATTAATGCTAAAAAAAAAACCCCACCCCCTGCAGTTTGGAATGATGCAAGCAAAATATTTTACAATTTCAAACTATTAAAAAAATAGGATGTTATGGTTCTATATACATCTATTGACTAAGCGTGAATTGCATAGATTACGTATGATAGGTGTCTATGATTCAGTCTATCGGTGGTTTATAAGCACAGGAGCTCCATTTATGTATAGAAGCTCCACATGTGCATCGACATCAGAATTCATTGCAACATGATCTGCATGTGCGTTCCATGTACAGATGGACTAAGCCCATCGATTGGAATGAACGGGGCAGTCAATGCATACCAAAAATCTATTTGTGCATCTGATGTATTAAATTATACACTGTACTTATATGCTACTGGATTTCTTGGGATTTAGGTATGCATAGCTGCACTATGTAAGTACCTGAGCCTGAACATCTTTACCTGGAAGCCATTCCCTTTGATTTTGGTTGAACTTCATTTCTGAGTATATGCTTTGTACCAGTCTGTAAGCAGAACATAGTGCAATTTATGATTTGTGGCCATTTCTATAAAACAGTGCTTAGCCAAAGCCTTTTCTAGTCTCCACTTAGGATAGAAGGCTGCATATCAAGGGATACTGTTGCAGTGAATTTCCTGCAACTGTTTTTCTCTATTTTGTGGCAAAGATTTATGATTTATATACATTTGCACTTCGTAAATGATATTGTACAACAGTTGTTGCTAAGTACAAAATATATCCTTTGAAGCTGCACTCAAGAGTGTACTGGATTTTCCCAACATTGATCCCTCACCCCCCTGCTTGATAAAAGGCCACAATATGCATTTTGCTACAAGTGGCTAAGATCATACTATCAGGAAACTGCTTACTGGTCAGTATTAGTAAGATTATTATTGATAAATGATTAATCCCAGGTTTTATTGTTCTGAGATAAACAGGTATGTTGGAAGTACTGTACTGAGATAGCCTATTCCAATTTTGGATGGTGTGGTTACTATTTTTATATTATCAGAAACTTCCTTTTGTCATTGAACAAGAATGCAATGCTTGCAGTCCCCTTATACTATACTTGTGTGAATATTATGTTGTTTTATATGGTTCTATACAGCTAGTGTACATGGGGATAGCATTCGTTCCCCGTTGACCTTTATTTTGTTTATTGATATTAAAGTGCATTAAAAATTGAATGTGTGTTTCCTCTGGAAGTGTAAAACTAACAACAACAGTTTTTGTTTCCTCTAAAAACAAGAGACTCAGATGAACAAAAAGATTATATTGAATCTAATTCTGTTGCCCCTCTCCCTGCAAGTGCCATTACACAGCTTTTATATAAAAACAAAACAGAGAGCAGATTATAAATTATATTCTGATGCAATCAATAGAACCTGTTCATACCTCCTAAAAATAGATTTTTAAAACCCATGAAATGCCAAATAGTCTTCTGAAACAAAGTAATTTTATTGATCCAGAAGTTAGTGAAACCACCAGAAAATAGACTAGAAAGGGCTGATTGGTAGAAACAGCTTGAGGATAATCTGAGGCCTTTTTTTTTTAGTAAATTCAGAATGGTAACCAATTCTTTCTGCTGCTTAAAAAAAATTCAAACTGGAACACCTGTAAACTGGTAAAGTACTTTCTTCATCAAACTAATATTTTAGCAGGTTAAGAGTTCGTGAAAAAGCTTGATTCTGATGAATAATGCCGACAGCTTTGTTTTGGAGTATTATGTGAAAAATGATCTTTTTATAATAGTACATTGACACCAGTATGCGTTATTCACCATCTGCTTACATCATTCCCCACATAAAGATAGTTACTTACCAATGCAGCCATTTACTGATGTTATACACTACCATGGTAATAACATTGTAGAATGCTACAGAATGCGATTATCAGCTCTACTTTTATTCACTATGGTACTCATATTTGTCTACTGCTGCCAATGCAGCAGCCTTCTAGCTTTCCTTAATCACATCAGGAAACCAGTTGGAAGTTTAGATGGCGTCACTTTTCATTATTGGCACAATCTCTTTCCCTCCAAAAATAGCATTTTTGAAAAATTGTGTTTTAATTGCTATCATAAAAATACACAAGATTATCTAAATACTAAAGAGGACACATATGTGTACCATGCAAGAATAAAAAGTAGTTTAAAAAATGCACACTCAGCTGTGCAAGTGCATTGGCAAAAGAGAATGCGAAATAATGGCTCCCGCTCTGGAATTAATACGCTGCTTTCCTTTCTGAAACCTCAGAAACTTAGAAGTACTTATACACTGATAATTTGTCTTTTCATGTCAACAGGAAGTAAAGGGTTAAACATAGTTTGCATCATATGCATACCGTACCTGCATCTGACATGAAAATGCTTCCTTCAGTTTTTGCCGTAACTTGGGGGAAATGCTGCAATTCATGGTGCTCTCTCTCTCTCTATCTTACCAATTAGTGTTACTTCAGAACTGTCAGTTCAGTATGTGGCTTAGTTTCTTAGCAAATTGGTTCAAAATGGTGGTTCCTTCTACCGAAACCCTTCCATCATGGGGGGGGGAAAACCCCCGTTTGATGTGGTTAATAATACTTATGGCCTCACATACAGGAAAGCAAACTGGCCTCCACAGTTCTGCTCTTCATTTGAGAGCTCTTAATTACACAGAGAGCATTTTGGAATGCATTAAGTGCAACCCAGTCCTATAAGAAATAGAATGGCAATTAACAGTTTCACATGGGGCTTTTATTTGCAGAAACTAAATGCATCTAGTTCATCTGAAGGTAGCACAGTTGACGTTGGAGTTCCCCAAGTTGGAGAGCAACCTGAAGCCGAACCAGAAGAATCTCTTGAACCAGAAGCCTGTTTTACAGAAGGTGAGGAATATAAAGAATTGAAACTCCTTTGTTTTGGGGAGCATTTTGTTTTTGCTTATCTGTATTCCTGCCCTGTTATGCTAGCAATGTGCACAACTTCAGATCCAGCGTTTGCTTCCCAGGTAAACACTGTAGGTCTGTTATCCAGGGTTGCTTCTCATGATCCAGCAACCCTATGAATATTTGACAAATTTCTCACATCCAGCTTACAAAAGAATTTCCTAGAAAAAAGTAATCCAAGTTAATATATATTTATGCTTTGGGTGTTTTTGTTTCTTGATTTTGCACTTACTGTGGAGGCAAATTTTTTGTGGGAAGAATTAATCCTCAGATGCTACTTCTAAACTGCACACTGTTAGCTTATTCTTAATGAGGAAGAGTTGTGTGTGTTTCATTCAAACGTAATCAGGCTTATTATACAGAGCACAAACAGGAACACAAATTGCTTAATACATCACAAGAAACGAAATGCTGCAGTTTGTAGTGTCAGTCAGTCATGCCTTCTTTCAGGATGCACAGTTCCATTTCTCAGTCTCAAATTGTCAGCCAGTATTCTGTAACCACTTGAGTATGCTCAGTCCTCCTCACTGGGCTGTCCTTTTTCTTAAAATAAATTGTACTTCTGCAGACTGTAGGGTTCTGCAAACTTTAGGGTTCTCCCTACCCTGCTGATGCCTCACTCTGGCGAGTGAATGGTGCCATTTTGATTCTATAAGAACCCATGCTCAAAAATTGTATTGTGTTGGGACACAATGTACATATTGTATTAGTATACAGTGAAATAAGTAAATCTGTTCCAAATGGGATCCACTTGGATATTTCATGGCCTATCTTCCTTCCCCCACCCCCCTCCCCGAACAACTGAGCCGACTTGAGTGAGTTTTAATTTTAATGGACAAACTATTTTAGGGCTGTATTTTAGTATAGAATATATTCTACTCAAGACTGACCATAGAAAATGTTGTTAATTAACTGTAGCTTCAGAATAACTTACTATGCTACTCTCATTTGCCGCATTTTGCCAGGCTGTGTTCGGAAGTTCAAGTGCTGCCAAGTCAGCGTAGAAGACGGGAAAGGAAAACTATGGTGGAATCTTCGGAAGACCTGCTACAAAATAGTAGAACATAATTGGTTTGAGACTTTTATTGTCTTCATGATTCTTCTCAGCAGTGGTGCTCTGGTAATTTTGAAAACCGTTCTTTACCACAGAACCTTAGAGAGCAATCCATAGAGTTGTGTCAGGGGAGGGTGACCAAAGATGGAATAACCACCTTTTCCAGTGCTCTCCTGAGTTCACACACTGGCAAGGCAGAAGGGAGGAAAGATTCATGTTCAGGAGGCTGAGTTAGTTTTCACTACTGGTGCCAACCATAGAGGACCCTTTCAGGGCCCTAGTACCCACAAAAAAATAATAATTGGGTGCTCGGCACCCACACTACGGGGCTCCAATGCAACCTCTGAGGCAATGTTGGAGGTCTCGTAAGGCCTCGTACGTGGCCTCCAAGACCCTGCAAGACCTCAGAAGCAACATCCAAGGCCCTGCCTGTCAAGACATTATGTCGCAGGTGCCATTGGGCACCCATTATTATTATTATTATTAATTATTATTATTAATTATGGTAGAATCTGTTGACATGAATTGAAACAAGTCTTGACATCATACCAGGCAGGTGTATCTGGGAACACAAGAGTTCCCACAGACATTTTCTGTTCCACTTCATTCCTCAGTAGTGCTTATCTGGAACATTATGTGTAGATATGGATGCTGCACTTTAAGAAGAATGTAGGCAAAACAAGGTGTTCAGAGGAGGGTCAAGGGCATGGAAAACAAATACTGTGAGAAAAAGCTGAAAGAACTGGGTATGTTTATTTTAAAGAGGAAACATAGTAGTACTTCCTTTAAATTCCTGGGAGTTTACCTTAGTGAAGACCTCACTTGGAAAAACAATATAACTCAGGTGGTTAGGAAGGCCCAACAGAGACTCAGGGTCCTGCGATTGAACAATGTTAAACAACAATTGATGACCTCCTTCTACCGGTCCACAATAGAAAGTGTCCTCTCATATTGTATCACAGTGTGGTACGTTGGCTTGAAAGACAGAAAGACAGAAAGTCTTTACAGAGGGTGGTGAACACAGCACATGATATCATGGGCTGTCCCCTGAGTCCGCTAAATGACATCGCAAGGGATCGATGCCTTAGGAGAGCGAGAAAAATTCTCAGGTACAATTCACACCCCGGCCAGCACCTCTTTAATCTTCTACCCTTGGGCAGGAGATATAGAAGTATAATCAGTCCTACCAACAGGCTAAAAAACAGTTTCTACCCGTGGGCTGTTAGGCTGCTGAATGGAAAATAATATAGTGCAACTGACTTTCGGGGTAGGTGTGTTGTGCGAGAAGCACACAGAGTGCAATGAGATTGAGTGTTTGGGGGGAGGGGAGGCTCGATTAATTTCACTGTACACAGGTTGTACATTGACAATAAAGGTATTATTATTACTTCACCCAAATTCCTGAAGGGTGGTCTCATATAAGAAGATAAAGTCACAGGAGACTTTGGTTGAACATTAGGAGAAACTTCTTAATGGTAAGAAGTTAAACAATGGAGATGGGACAGCCATCAGTTTGGAACGTTCCAGCTCTAGATTTTGTGCACTGTACAGATGTTGCGCTAGAGATCCCACAATGTGACCCTTAACTGCTGAATAATAATAATTCTGCAGAATGGAGGAAAGGAACACAGGGAGCTGCTCTGGAAGGTTAAACGATGTACATCTAGCCCAATATTTTCTACTGTGGCTGGTAGCAGCTCTCCAGAGTCTCAAAAAGACCCATTCCTTGCTACCTAAACATTGTAACTTGGTCCTCCTGTGTGCAAAGCATGTTTTCGTTCCTTCCCCCGTGAATGTCAAACAACAGAGAGGAAGAGGGGACTGAAGTTTCAAATACTAGAAAGGGAAACACAAATAATTCCAAGATTAACGCCAAACTAAAATCCATCAAATATATATGTGTGTGTGTGTGTATTTGTCTACAGGCTTTTGAAGACATATATATTGAACAGCGCAAGACTATCAAGACTATGTTGGAGTATGCTGACAAGGTCTTCACGTACATCTTCATTCTGGAAATGCTTCTGAAGTGGGTGGCCTATGGCTTTCAAACGTATTTCACCAATGCCTGGTGCTGGCTGGATTTCCTCATTGTTGATGTATGTATTTTTTTCCTATGAGCTGAATATGCAATCTACCTTTATGAAAATGAGTTATGGTGAATTAACTACAGTTACTGTGCCATGGATTCTTTTTTTAATTTATTTTTTTGTATGAATTGTGGGGTAAAGTGAACACATTTGCAAGAATCATGAGTAACTTTAATCCAGAATTCCATAAAGGGATGGTATAATGTGAACAAAAGCAGTGTGGCTACTACTTGCAGAAACCAGGGATGTAATTACTTCCAGAAAATAGCCATTTGGGCCTTAGTAGTGTGGCGATCTGGCTGGGGTAATTATTTTCGTACTGCGGCATTGACGAAATCACTCCGAACTAGTACAAGCTGAATTTACCAGTTAAACAGAAGAAATTGCTATATGAATTTAATTTTAAAAAAGTGTTCCCCCCCCATGTCATTAAGAAAAACTTCAGAGATAATGAAATCTATATCTACCTGTAATGGCATGGTCCAAAGCTAGATCCTGATCCATCCACTAGTATTCTGTGCGCGCACACCTTTTGGGGCTATATTTTGGAATCCATGGTAAAGTTGTGGATGGTGTCCATAGCAAGACTCTGGATTGTAGTCAACATGGATCTATACAACAGGGACACCTACACACTTAGTCTTCCATGGATTGAGAACCCTGATGCCATGGGTGCCCTGATCCGATGGAAGCCTATATGCATAGGTGTCTACATATGAAAACTCCCCTTTTGCAGTTGTCCATGCTCAACGTGTGGAAGTTGCAGGTGGGGCTGGGGAAGTGGCACAATGTTTGGGACAAGGCCAGCTGCAGGGCTCTGCATCCACTTCAACACACAGAGGCCCTTTTGTGTGAATGATGCAAGAAGGGGGCTTTGGTTAAAAAACACTGCAGCAAATCCCTTGCAACAAGCTGATGGCAGCAATTTGCATAAACTGCCATGCAGCCTGACATAACATCCCAGTTCAAAAGACAGGCACTTCTGCTTTGTCTTACACCTGAACGCAAACAACTGCATGCATAATTCAGGGTTTGAAAATTATGCCCTGGAACAAGTGGCAGGCATTTTAAGCATGGTCTTGCACCTCCCCTTAGAAATGGCATTAGCGTTGCTCAGTCGAAAATTGAATTATGTAGAAGCACTTCCCATCAATCCAGAAGAAGCTGTTCACTTTGTAGAAACAGTGTGCATGCCTTTACCTTTCCGGCACACAAGACACCGTTAAAATGCCAAAATATGTTCCATTGCATATGTTCCTCCAACATTTCTCCAATGAAAATAGGGACGTCTCATTCCATAATGATAATTTTCCTATTTTCCTATTTATACCCCACACATTTTACTGGGTTGCCCCAGCCACTCTGGGCAGCTTCCAACATATATAAAAACATAATAAAACATTAAACATTTTTTGAAAAATCCCTATACAGGATTGCCTTCAGACGGCTCGGGGGTTGGATAACTCCATACCCTCCAACATTTCTCCAATGAAAATCGGGACATCCTAAGGGAAAGTGGGACATTCTGGGCGGGATTAAATCAGAAACCAGGATGACTTCTCTAAATCAAGGACGTCCCTGGAAAATAGGGACACTTGGTGGGTCTGCCATTGCATTGTGGCAGATAACCTGTTTAAATTCACTAGCTGGGCCAAGGCAAAATTCTTTTTCAAACTCTTCTATAATGAGAATAACTAAAGCATTTACCTTTGTGTCCATTTTATCATGAGTTGCCCTTTGAGCCATTTGTTCTGCTACAGTGAATGACTGAAATGATCTCTGCAAAGTTATAGAAAAAGTATGTGCTGATTCTTATATATGTTATATAGCTTACGGATTAATTTCTTTTTTCTTCACGTGCAGGTCTCTTTAGTTAGCTTAACAGCTAATGCCTTGGGCTACTCTGAACTTGGCGCCATTAAATCACTGAGGACTTTAAGGGCTTTGAGACCCCTAAGAGCTTTATCACGATTTGAAGGAATGAGGGTAAGAAAACATGGAAATAGCTTAACGTAACGTACAAAACCATCACGATCATCTTCTGGATGGCATATTAAGAATATGAGCAGCAAGGTTTTCGGTAGAAATCCAGGATTTTACAAAGTGGCCCGGGGCAGCAAGAAGCTTTCTCTCTCAGCCTTTCTGTAACTTGAGAATAATAATACCAGCCTACCTGCCAACCTAGCAGTTCGAAAGCACGTCAAAGTGCAAGTAGATAAATAGGTACCGCTCCAGCGGGAAGGTAAACGGCGTTTCCGTGCGCTGCTCTGGTTCGCCAGAAGTGGCTTAGTCATGCTGGCCACATGACCCGGAAGCTGTACGCCGGCTCCCTCAGCCAATAAAGCGAGATGAGCGCCGCAACCCCAGAGTCGGTCACGACTGGACCTAATGGTCAGGGGTCCCTTTACCTTTACCTTTACCTGCCAGGAACTTGCAGCATAAACTCAGCAAATGTTTGCACATTTGGAATAGACTATATAAATGTCACTAATTAATATATCACCAATTCCTTTTAAATAGTTTATTTTTTTAAAAAAAGGTAAGTTCCTCTCTTGTATTATTTTACTTTCCATATTTTTTAATTAACTCTGAATTGTCAACTTCTTGATTATATTTTAAAAGCTTGGTTTTAAGCATCTGGTATTCTTACCTTGATGCATCTAAATGCATGTGCACATGCATATGATTTGCAGGCATATGTATTAATAATACATATTACATAACAGATAATAATACATATGTATTAATAATACATATTGGGACGAGCTCAGTGTAGCCCTAAGGAGTTTGTTCCATCAAATCTTGACAGTCATGGGATCAGCTGATCGCTCCTCTTATGAATCAATATCTATTAGAAATCAGAAGGTGGAAACAGAATGGTGGTAAGCAGTGAGGCTTCCAAAGACCTGGAATCAGGTTGTGGCACCCAAATTTACAGATAACACCCAATGATTGAGAATGACAAAATCCCAAGAGTGCCAACAGGAAGAAAAAATCCTCCATAGCTTTCTTGTATTTAAACTGAATGTTTACATTCCTATTCTGAAACCTTTAACATTTTGATAATGTACATCAGAAGGTATTTTAACATCCAAAAGAAAATAACTGCACTAGCAGTTTAATAATAATAATAATTCTGTATAATAATAATAATAATAATAATTAATTTAGTGTTTATACCCCACCCATCTGGCTGGGTTCCCCCAGCCACTCTGCCACTCTGGGCGGCTCCCAACAGAATATTAAAAACAGAATAAAATAATAATAATAATAATAATAATAATAATAATAATAATAATAATAATAATAATTAATAATAATAATAGAAATATCTGATATATGTGTGCTATTCTACACTGGGCACAGCCCCCTAAATTTAAAGTAATTGGCATGCCTTTTACCTCCTCGAGTGCCACCTATACCTGGGGCCCTATACTCCACATTTCTTGCTGGCAGATGATAGCCTATCTCTGGCACCATATTTTGAGCTTGTCAAAGGATTCATACCGCAAAGGAGTGGTGTTGCTGCAGGACTCAGAAAGGAGGGAATGTAGGTCAGCTTTTGAAATGCAGCAGTAATGGAGGGAATAATGTGACTGATCATGCAGCTAAAGGAGAGACATATTTACCACAGACTCTGCACTGCCTGTGCCTTGAAGCCAGCTGTCCACTACACTGTGTAATAATGCTTTTATTTGTCTGTCTGTGTACGTATGGATTTATTTATTTAGCACCGTTTTTAAAAAGAAGATGGGTAACCCTGTTTTTAAGAGAGGATGGAAATGGAATGAAAGTGTGCTAAACAATACAGTGCTATATTAAATGCTGCCTGTTGGGTGCTCACCAAAATTAAAAATGAAGCAGAATTTATCGTTTGCCAACAGGAGCCACATGGATCACTCACACTGAGCCGTTCTTTCGCCTTCCAATTCTGCAACTCTGATTTGCACTTTTGGCATTGGTGCAGATGCGAACCAAGTGTCTTAAATGACCAGCGTGGCTGCAGCCTGCATATGTTACGAGCTCCAGCCACACAGAAATGTTTTCCTTGCTGACTATGTTACCAGGGTAACATATTAACCAGGCTGTGAAACTATACTTCATATACTTCTGCTGCTTGTCTATGGCACAATGACTATCCTTCTCAGCTGCCTGCAGAGATTTCCATGAAGCACATGGCAAAAGTGATCTGTTCTGAGATGAAATGCCAAAGCAAGGGGTTACTTAAACTTCCTTGAAAGCCACTTCTTCTGACCTATGACCTCAACTGTGTGTTGGAGTATGGTGCTCTAGGTGGCCTAGACCAGGGTTTGCTAACCTTCTGAGGCTAATTTGAACTTTTAAGAAATCATTGTGAGAGCGTTGCTCTCAAAATGTCTGCTGTAGGGGGTATGGCATTACACAAAATGACCCACCTGAAAGCAAAAAAAGAGGCATCACTCTGTCAAAATTATATGCCCAAAACTCTCTTCCCTCACCAAATTGCAAACGTTGGCTTTCATGAGATGTTTTGTTGCTTTTATTTTTCTACATGATGTACTCTTTATGTGTTTGGAAAATACAAACTGTGTATCGCTCCTATGTTTGGTAACTATCTGTAGTTGACATTTCTCTCCTAATGTTCTGTTTCTTAGTTCCAATGGTCGGGCTGGTTTCCCCACCCCCATTGTATTACACTTCCTTGCTTTCTTTGGTTTTTTCATACTTACATTAGAGTTCTTCCATGAGTTATGGAGGGCACATGTATAATGAAGGTTTCAGAAGTCTTTAAAATTTATTTCAGAAATCCTCACCCAACATTGATAAAGCATCTCCCTTTTTTGCACTTACACAGTCAAACTTACTTTCTACGGTGTCGTTTGTTTTATAGGTGGTAGTGAATGCCCTCTTGGGAGCGATTCCATCGATCATGAATGTGCTTCTCGTATGTCTTATATTCTGGTTAATCTTCAGCATCATGGGAGTCAATCTCTTTGCTGGCAAGTTCTACCACTGCATTAATACCACAACAGGGGACATGTTTAGCATCGACGAAGTTGACAACCAAACTCAGTGTGAAGAGCTCATAGAAAGAAATGAAACAGCCCGGTGGAAAAATGTGAAAGTCAACTTTGATAATGTGGGGCTTGGTTACCTCTCTTTGCTTCAAGTAGTAAGTGGTTGTTATTCCTATAATTCTTAAAGTTAACGTCTTCTTTAAAGAAAAAAGAAAAAAAAGCTGTGCTTTATTTTATGCTGTCTTATTTTTACTGGAAAAATACCACTAAGCTAAAGTTTCCCAGAAGTGATTTTCCCCCAAAATACTTTTCTTTTTCTCATTCTCCCACTTCACAACAGAAGGCCATTTTGCCAAGTTTGTTCCAAACATTCTCCGCCATTTTTTTCATTCAAGCTTTAGGAGAAAGACCCTTGTTCTGTGGCAGAGCACCTGCTTTGTATGCAGAAGGTCACTAGTTCAGTCCCTGGCATCTTCATGTCAGACTGGGAATGTGTTATGTACTGAAGTTCTCTCCCTGGGCCAGCAGGGGGATACTGTAGATAGTTATGCAAATAAGGGATCGAAAGTGACGTTCAGTGATTGGATAGTTTTAGAAAGTTGTTACAGTAGTGTTGTACTGGAGCTCTATATAAGCAGGCTGACTGAACCCTTCAGTTCTGTTCTGTTCTGGCCTGTGAATAAACAAGAGCTGTTTGAAGAATCGCTGTGTCGTCGGATATGTTCACCCACAACTTAACTGAATGTCTCCAGTTTGAAACCCCATAGAGCAGCTCTTAGCTGGCACAGACAATGCTGAGCTAGGTGGACCAGTGATATAAGGCAGCTCCCTATGTCTTTTATGTTTTTGGCAGCAGACACCATTTTCCGACCACAGTGCCGTGGAATGACGCTAAGTCTGGGGCACAGTGAAGGGTGGGAAATGGTGGCCATGCGTCTGACGCAATTGCTTCTACTGCTACAATCGCTGCTACCACTTTCACCAAACAACAGCAATGAGACCTTAGGAGGGAAAGAAAGAACTTGAGCTACTGACAGGTGAACCCCATCACCAAGAACCTATTGGAGAATTTTCCCTCCTAAGAAAATTTGGTAAAATTATGTCTTCCCAATGCATCTGCACAGAAACAGAGTTGAGAATTTCAAGACGCTATCCGAACACAGCTTAACATTAAATTGAAGTGGGGAATCTGCCTACAGTGAACCAGCAGACTGTCTGAGCTCAAAATGCATATATTTGCAACATTGCTGAGAAATCGGAACATTATGTCCAGGCAGTATTGAACTTTGATCTGAAATAGACACATAGGAGCACACAGTCCAGTGCAAATCTTAACCAAATCTTCCATAAAGCTATGATTATTTGTAAAATATGTACACAGAGGCATTCATTCATTAATGCATGTCAATGGCATTACCTTTTTATGTTTCAAAACGTTTTAAAAAGAAATTCTCCAGGGTGGGGTATTTCTGGCCCTCCAGATGTTGCTGGACTACAACTCTATCATATCTGACCATTGGCGAAGCTGGCTGGGCCTGATGGGAGTTGGAGTCCAACAACATCTGGAAGGCCACAGATTCCCCAGTCCTAACATACAGTTTGTAAAGTATTTTAAATCTTATTCATTCAGCTAGAAATTAATAGGATGTTGTCCCAGACCACTTTGAACGGATTTATCCAGCCCTAATACATACATGGTATGCTTTTGTTCCTCGGTTGCCAAATTGTTTATGAAGTGCAGGCATTAAAAAAGGTGTTCTATTTTCAGGCCACCTTCAAAGGTTGGATGGATATTATGTATGCAGCTGTGGATTCACGAAATGTAAGTGCACTACCATGGCATGAGCACACTTTTGCACTCAGATTTCACACAACTATCATTTCAATTCTAATTTCTCAGGGTTGGTTCCCCCACCCATCGCCGCTGCCCTTTATTTTGAAATTTGCTGTCTGCAGGCCCAAAGGGGCCATTACTTCTCCACAATTGATTTGTCTCTTAGTCTCCACTGGTTATCTTGCTTATTCTCCCTGCCTCAGTCTCCACTGCTACTTTCCGCTCTCTGATCGGTCTGTCTTGTATTCGATCCTTAACTATAATAATAATTTATTATTTCTACCCCGCCCATCTGGCTGAGTTTCCCCAGCCACTCTGGGCGGCTTCCAATCAAGTGTTAAAAACAATACAGCATGAGTCTGAAAGGTTCTCATTAAGAGTTAGGAGCTAGATATTCAAACACATTGTCATTGCTGAACAGCTGTGGGCAGAAAAATCGCTGCAAGATACCATTCCAAAAATAGGAATCTTATAACAACAAATCTTGGGTAACAGTATAGATTTATATCAGGGGTGCCAATGGGGTGCCATCCAGATATTTCAGACTACAACTCCCATCATCCCTAGCCAATGGACATGCTGGCTGGGGCTGATGGGAGTTGGATTCCACAACATCCGGAGGGTCCAACATTGGATACCCCTACTTTAGATTTTTTTTTTTAAAGTCACCCTGCAATAATTTTCCATGTATTTCTTAGTGTAATTGGCATTTGTTGTTATCTCGTGCTCCTTCCTTATTTGTTTTTCTCGACTGTCTTTCCCCTTTTGTGTATCTGCCATCTTCTCTAGTATTCCTTTAATATATTATTCTGTAGACCTTGATTGCCTTTAACCAATATTTATGTATTCATTTATTGCATTTATATTCTTCCTGTCTGCCCTGGAGCTCAATGCAGCTCCCATTTGCTTTCCCATTTGATCCTCACAATGGCCCTGTGAGGTAGAGTTAGAAAAAGAGCCAGTGACTGCCCAAGGCCTCTCTCACACATACAGTTTCATGGCTGAGGTGGGATTTGAAGCTGGGCATCTCCAGTCCTAGACCAGCACTCTAATCATGACTCTATACAGAGTTAGCAAAAGCCATATGAGTCTAGATTGAAATTTAGATAGGTAATGGAACTAAGGTGGAGGAGCAGAGAGAGAAAATGTTGAATTATAACTCAGAGCAAAAAGATAGGTGAATGGTTCAGTGTTGTGTACCAATATATTTCGGTTTAGAGTTTTCCATTTGTAGCTGTGAAGTCAAAATAGATTCCGGGGAAGCACAGCTCTGTGGCAATTCTAAATAATTATACTGGATAATAGCTAATTATATTAAATGTTGGCTTAATGTATGTTTCCTTAAAATGTCTTTGTAGGTGGAGAAGCAACCTCATTATGAGGATAACCTGTATATGTATCTTTACTTCGTCATCTTTATCATCTTTGGATCTTTCTTCACTTTGAACTTATTTATTGGTGTCATCATAGACAATTTTAATCAACAAAAAAAGAAGATAAGTATTCTGTTGCTGTGTTCTGGGTTCAGTGATAATGATTCAGTGTCTGTTGTGCTGTGTTTGCCGTCAAGATTTACAACTGTGTTGTTTTTTTAAGAAGATTTTTTGTAAGGTTAGGTTCCCCCCCCAAAAAAAGTGCAGAATGTTCATTTCCAACAAATCCTAAATCTATATCCGTAATCAAAGTGAAGTCACTCACTTTGGTTGAACCATATTAGTGAATGCTAATAGTTTGAGGGGCATGCAGGAGGCAGAGGGGGAAATATATCGGAGGTACACATTTCTTATGGCCATCTTCTGAAGACACAGGAAAGCCTTAAGGAAAATAGAGATTTAGTAGGGACTTTATGACTATGTGTACTTTATCTGTTGAATTTATTATTTTTCCAACCTCTAAAGGCAAGGCTTTCAATGAAAATCCCCAGGCAAAGCAGCTCCTATGCTTTTGACAGCCATACAATGTGCAGAAAACAGTTTTGGGGGCGGATTGTAGCGCATGAGAACTAACTTCACCCCTTGCTAATGTCACCCAATGAGCCAGTTTTTGCACACTGAAATATACTCGGAGTTGAGAATGAATTTCATGCTCTTTACTCAGCTCATAGTGGTGAGAAGGAATGGAAGTTCCCCCAGAATATCTGCTTTATATACATTATTTACACAACGGACCCCACATGATTGGCTAATTCCGGGATTCTCCTGTAGGCCAATCAGGTTGCGGATTCACTTCCACCTGGAGCTGGATTGGGTGGCTCCTGTGGACCAATCAGACTGCTGCATTCTGAATCCTATTGTTCTAGGACCAATCAGACTGCTGCATTTTGGATCCTATTCAACTCAGTACATAACACACAGAGAGAAGCAGCAGCAACCAGTAAAAGTAGACAAACCCATTAAAGACAAGACACCAGAGCCTGGTTAGAAAATAAGTTGGCAACCCTTGTTTTGAACATCATTACACTTAATAAATTAGGGTGCAATCTTAATCCCGTGCTGTCCACAGCAGTAAGACTTCACAGAGCAGTGCAACCAGGGCTGCATCCACATTCTCAGATCAACCAGAGCAGAAGTGGGGGGTGGTGGATTCTCTTCACTGCCTCCACTCCCAGCACTCTTCCTTCAGTGATGAAAGCAGACTCACGGAAAGGGAATGGCATACTAACATCCTTTCTCTGATCAAAAGAAAGGGGGCAGGACGGCCAGTTTTTGGAAGGGGTTGCTACTATGTGAGCACATAAGAGTTCCCACAATAGTAAAGGAAAGGGGGGCTAGACTAGGGTATACACGGTGTAGACCTAATGAAATTATTGGACCTCAGCAATCAGGTCCGTTGACTTCAGTTGGTGGTGTTGGGTATGACTTACTTTTGTTCAACCTCTGAAAGCAAGGGCTGTGCCTTGTGAACAGTTACCTGCACTTTCTCCTATGCCGAGACCCAATGAAAGACATTGGTTGTTAAGTAAGAATAGATGGGGGAAAAATTGTTTGCTTGCTTAAAAAAACAAAAATAAAGAGGTATCCGGTTGTAACCAGGTTTGGTTTCATCCCTTTACTTTGGAGGTCAAGACATCTTTATGACAGAAGAGCAGAAGAAATATTACAATGCAATGAAAAAACTGGGGTCCAAGAAACCGCAGAAACCAATACCAAGGCCAGCAGTAAGCCTCATTAAATTTCCAACCATTATTTACTTATATATCTATCTATATATTAAATAACAATGTCGAGTAAGTGGGAATGCAGTTGGAACACAGATTTACACTCAATCAAAATTATATCCAATGCAAGATTAAGAACATATTTTTTAGGCACTGCCCTGAGTGAGCACTAGGAAGGTGGGGAAGAAATATTGTATCTAAATAACTAAGAACATATGAGGATCCTTGCTGGATTAGATCAAAGGCCCATCTAGTCTACCTTTCTGCTCTCATAATATATGCCCATGGGAAGCCTGTAGGCAGCACATAGGCACTGCTATATGCTTCCTATGCCATTTAGGTATGGATTTAGATCTCACACAGGGCAGCCATTGATACGCTTCCTTCACATGCCAGTGTTGTCCTGTCCCACCTCCCAGGAGGGATAATACTGGCATGGGAAAAACTGATGCCTTTTTGTATTGTAGGGTCTTGTTGCATTACGGCAGAGTTGTGACTGTAAGCCACTCAGCAACTCCCACTGTACTGAGGAATGGCCCTTAGTGCATCTAGATTTGGTTTTGCCTTAAACAATTTGCCGTAGAATGAATTACAAATGTTCCGTACAAGGTACCTACTGGTAAACTATGTAAATCATGAGATATTTGAATAAGACATTGTTTTCTTCATCTACAGAACAAATTTCAAGGCATGGTCTTTGATTTTGTAACAAAACAAGCCTTTGACATCAGCATCATGATTCTTATCTGCCTTAACATGGTCACCATGATGGTAGAAACAGATGACCAAACTGATGCAATGGAAACTAATCTATACCGAATTAATCTGATCTTCATAGTCCTTTTCACCGGAGAATGTGTCTTGAAACTGATTTCACTCCGCTATTATTATTTCACCATTGGCTGGAACATTTTTGATTTTGTGGTTGTCATTTTATCCATTGTAGGTAAGAAAAATTACAATTCAATAGAACATTAAAATGGTGGTTAATGAAAATTTTGGAAAGTTAATGGGAAATATGAAAAAAAAAACCTTTTCAATATCTTAATTAATCTCTAATTGTAATTTTCTGAATACTGTAGAGATCGTTTTCCATTTTAAATGGTGGGTTGCAATTTTTAGCATGCTATTAAGATTAGATGTTGCATTCCCTTTTTAAGTAACCTATTTATAAATTTTGTTTTTAGGTATGTTCCTAGCAGAGATTATTGAGAAATACTTTGTGTCGCCCACCTTGTTCCGAGTGATCCGACTTGCCAGGATAGGTCGCATCCTGCGTCTCATCAAGGGTGCTAAAGGGATCCGCACTCTGCTTTTTGCCTTGATGATGTCTCTCCCTGCCTTGTTCAACATCGGTCTTCTCCTTTTCCTGGTCATGTTCATCTACGCTATATTTGGAATGTCCAACTTTGCCTATGTGAAGAGAGAAGTGGGAATCGATGACATGTTCAACTTTGAAACTTTTGGCAACAGCATGATCTGCCTTTTCCAAATCACCACCTCTGCTGGCTGGGATGGGTTGCTAGCTCCCATTCTCAACAGTGGGCCACCAGACTGTGACCCTAACAAAGACCACCCAGGAAGTTCAGTGAAAGGAGACTGTGGTAATCCTTCCGTTGGGATTTTTTTCTTCGTTAGCTACATTATTATATCATTTTTAGTTGTAGTAAACATGTATATTGCCGTGATTTTGGAGAACTTCAGCGTTGCTACAGAAGAAAGTGCTGAGCCTTTGAGCGAGGATGACTTTGAGATGTTCTATGAGGTTTGGGAAAAGTTTGATCCAGATGCAACTCAATTCATAGAGTTTAGTAAACTCTCCGATTTTGCAGCTTCACTGGATCCTCCCCTTCTAATACCAAAACCGAACAAAGTTCAGCTTATTGCAATGGATCTGCCCATGGTAAGTGGTGACAGAATTCACTGCCTTGACATCTTGTTTGCTTTCACAAAACGTGTTTTGGGTGAAAGTGATGAAATGGATGCCCTTCGTGTTCAAATGGAAGATCGCTTCATGGCAGCCAATCCTTCAAAAGCTTCTTATGAACCAATTACAACCACCTTAAAACGAAAGCAAGAGGACGTATCTGCTGTCATCATTCAGCGAGCCTTCAGGCGCTACCTCTTAAAGATAAAAGTTAAAAAAGTGTCCTGCCTATTTAATAAGGACCGAATCAAAGCTGGAGATGACACTCTTATCAAAGAAGATATGATCATTGATAAGCTGAATGAGAATTCTACCCCTGAAAAAAATGATATGACCCCTTCCACCACCTCTCCACCTTCCTATGATAGCGTTACAAAGCCTGATAAAGACAAATATGAAAAAGACAAATCAGAAAAGGAAGATAAAGGTAAAGATATCAGGGACAGTAAAAAATGAGCAAAGCGAAGGATTCCCTTTGTGACAAATTGTTTACAGCTTGAGAAAATAGAGTATTATTTCAAAAGGACTCCAAGTGGAGGTTTATGCCAAACTGACTGTTTTTGCACACACACACACAAACACACACACAAATATATCTATAAATATATATACAAATGTTATATATATACTTAAGGTCAGTGCCTATTAACAAGACAGTGACCCCCTCGTCAATCCCCATGCTACTGTGTAAAACAGGATGGCAACTTTGACAGGAGGCTACTGTTTTTATTACCAGCTGACACTGCTGAAGAGGAAAGAAAAATGGCTACCCAGACTGTAGGGACCAGTACAAGAGGTGCAAACCTAGAATTTATGTGTGTTTAACATAAAACACTCAAGTACAATAACTGTATCCACTGTTTGCATTCCAACTGCCACCTTTTGCCATATTTTTACAAACAAACAAAAAATCAGTGTTGGTGAGGTTGTCATTTTTTTAATTCACAGGTTGTTTACTATTATATGTGACTATTTTTGTAAATGGGTTTTATGTTCAGGGGTGGGTGGGTTCAGGGTCAGGGGGACCATGAGGACCAGCTGTTCTGTCTGATTCTCTTGTACAGACAGAAGAAGTGATTTGCATGAAGGCATGCTGCACTTATAGACCATGCATGGAAACAAGTAAGACTTCTTTGCACAAGGGTTTTAAATACTTCCATGTTTCAGGATGGCTCCAGATTCTGAGGTGCTTAATAAAAGTATACATCTTTACGTCTCATCCTGACAATTCTTAAATGTGCCTGTAAGTCTCATAAACTCAACAGTTACTCGACAGAGGTATTTTTGTCCCCTCCATGTACCGTTCCGTTGTCAAGTTGACACACACGTAACTCAATTTGTAGTTGGATGGGGAAACCGGGTGGGGTTTTTGTTTAAGTGTTCTTTAGGAAACAAAAATGTGTTCATCTGGAGCACTAAACTGGCCAAAAGAGGGGGGAGAAGAACCTGACATTTATAAGTTTGTTTTTGCTTTCTCCTGCAGTATTGTTTAGCCATCTTCTGCTCTCAGCAAGATTGACACTGTATGTGTCAATGAGATAATGCTGTCTATGTAAATAGTTCTTTTAACCCCGTGGTGCATGTTTGAGCAAAGGAATAATGACCTGTGCACAATATTTATTGCATCAAATATGTACCACGATAACTGTAGTTCGCAAGCCTTGAACAGGAAAATATGATGTATTCTGTACCATTATAAGTAGTTTGGAGGCTATCACTGATGCATGTTGTTTATCTTGCCTTCGCTGCTGTATTTTTCTTGGATTTGTTCAGAAATCTAATATGGGAAGCCATATGTCAGTGGTAAAAGTGAAACAAATTGTTTAACCAGATATCATTCCTCATTTCATCAAGCAATAGTTTTCAGCTATCCGGTAAAAAAGAAAAGAAAAGAAAAGCTTCTTGTTCTGCCCTTACTTTATTCTTCTCTTGAATTTTAAGTGAGTATTGTACAGTGTGTAGCCAGCTGTACACATCATGTTGCAAACTGCTTAAATCTGTTCAAATACACGGTTAGGATTTTCTAAGAAAAAATATAAATAGTGTACAGATGTCATTCAATTTTATTTTTCAGCATTTTGTACATAAATGGCAAAACAAAACTGATCTTCAGGTCGATGTCACAGGCAGTTCTTACTTTCTGTCCATAGCACTTTTTAATTGAAGAACTTCACAAAGTAGAAAAATAATGAAAGGCGAGAATGGGGGTAATGTTAGGTTTCTGGGTTACTTTCTTTTTTTTTTAATTAGTACTGTATTTTTGCACACATCTTAATGTGAATTTTCAGATGGAGTCCAAAATGCACTTGCTTCCAAATAGCTATAACTTGTAATTGAAATGTGGTGGGAAAGATTTGTTTGAATTCCTAGCACTGCCTGCATAAGCAGTTAGTCTTATTATCCATAAAATCCTTGATCTTTTCCAGTGTTTGTTTACATAGACTATTCTTATTCTTGTTGATTCATGCTGCACTAGAAGTCTTCTAAATATTATATGCGGTTCTACAATGATAATTTCTCCCCCTCCACAAGAACCAAGTAGCGAACTTGTATATCTGGTCACACCAGGACATTTTCTTTTCCCGTATTCCATTCACAGGCAAAAATTAAATGTTAATTCCTCCTTTTACTGAAACTGTTGACTTTGTGTGTTGGTGAACTGCATGCAGGAAAATGCTATTACCATAAAGAACGGTAAGCCACATTACAGTTGAGCCAAAAGAATAAAGACTTCATTTTTTTTTATTGTACTCGATGGTTCTGTCTTTGTTTTTTGTTTTCTTTTACTGCAATGTATTTTCAGATTGCTGGAATTCTGACCTTAAAGAGATGTTCACAAATATAATAAAAATAAGAGGTTTTTGATGTTTCAGTCTTAAACACACTTGCCAGAGCAGGTCACATTTGGCATGAGAATGTCACTGAATGTCCTTGTGCTGATACACATTTGAGCCATAAAGCATAGAATAGATGGACTTATTCCACTATAGTCCTCACTATACGACTCTCTGAAATCTGTGCCCTTTGTGACAAGATCATGCTCATTTTCATTATGAATGGGCTAAACAGACTTTCACTTCACATTTCTTACCTCTTACAGGTTTGCATCAGGTATGCAGGTACTGTATGTTTTGATGACTTGCAGCTTTAAAAGTGAGCTGATTCCATGGGGATATTGTGCTGAGATGGTATGAAAGGTTTCTGTCCATGGCATTTATTTATTTAAAAGGCTTTACCCCATTCTTTGGAACGGGGTCACGACACAGTCTTCATAAAAGTATAAAAGAGTTTACTCACGTCCTGTTCACAATGTGATCCCAGAAGGCACAGCTTAAAAAGGTTACATAGATTTAGAATCTATCTCATAGCAAGATAGGCCTTATCTCCTCTCTTGGCTGGGGGCCAAGAGGGCATCCTTAGGTGTTTCCTCGTCGAAGAAAAATGGCAGAGAGAGAGAGATGGCTGCCTGCCCTGTGCTTTTTTGTCATCACCTGCACAGGTGAGGCCACACCCACCTCTGGTCACATGTGGAGGAAGTCCGTCCCCAGGAAGTTTACCTGCTTGCTGGACAGACATCCCTCCCCATGTTGTAAACATGTACACTCTAGGAATGTTGTCATTGACTGCTCCTGTGTTTACATCCCACAGCGCTGTGGGTTAAACCACAGAGCCTAGGGCTTGCCGATCAGAAGGTCGGCGGTTTGAGTCCCCGCGATGGGGTGAGCTCCCGTTGCTCGGTCCTTCCTCCTGCCCACCTAGCAGTTCGAAAGCACGTCAAAGTGCAAGTAGATAAATAGGTACCGCTCTGGCGGGAAGGTAAACAGTGTTTCCGTGTGCTGCTCTTGTTCGCCAGAAGCGGCTTAGTCATGTTGGCCACATGACCCGGAAGCTGTATGCAGGCTCCCTCGGCCAATAAAGCGAGATGAGCGCCGCAACCCCAGAGTCGGCCACGACTGGACCTAATGGTCAGGGGTCCCTTTACCTTTTTTTACCCCATTTTTTAGCTAGAAAGACTCCCAAAACATCTTACATATGATGAGTAACAGAGAATGGAGCCCTTCCCCACATGTTTACAATCTAGAAAACATCACACAAAAGGGCAAAAGGATGAGGGAAGAGGTAAACTTGCAAAGTCAGGACCTGGTTCTTACTATGCAAAATTCTTACAACATGCATCTTAAATAGAATTAGTTTGGGGAGAGCCAAATGGAGCTTGTATTTCAGCCGAACTAATGGAGTGGGACTTGCTTCCCCATCTTTTCCTCTCCTGCAGCAAGATGGAATAGTGGCCATTACATGTTATTTAGCCCATGAAACCCCAGTTCTGAAGGAAATGTTGACTTCTTATTGTAGTCATCAAGATGAAATCATGCATGTGCAAAGGTGCCTTTAGATCACAGGTTGCCAATGTTTTTTGTCCTGTCAGCACATTTGCAAACTGGAGCAGCACTCATGGAACCACTCACACACACAAACTGTCACACATGCACCCACCCATCCAATAGTTAGGCTTGAATTGGGGGGGAAACACCAATTGGCTACAACAGAGTGGTTTCAAGCCTAAATTTTAACTGCAGACAGAGGGTGCCCAGGAACACCTTTGTGAGTACAAGTGCTCCCTTGGGACACCCTCCTTAGATTACCAATATTTTATATATGCACCTTACAAATTTGCATTTTATACAGCTATTATTGTTATCTCTAGGAAATGGGATTTGGCTAAATTAAGCCTCTGTGCATACTCTTCCTTCTCATATCTATATAACACATTGAAGGTTGGGGGTTTTTTTCCCTCCAGTGACAAACGATACATCGTTGGTTTTGCTTAATAATTGGTTACTATTTCCCCTGCCATACAAGATCAAAGCCTAGAATTAATGCAGCATTCTGATAAAGGATAGGGAGAGCATGGATGCCACTGCCCTGTAGCTTTGGGCAGCAGCTGTCTGCCAGTGACGGGGCGGCAGCTGTCTCCTGGTGACAAGAGTGGAGACTATTCTGTAGACTTGTCATTCACAGCAGTGCCTAGAGTCAGACTGTGATCTCTGCACATCAAGACTGAAATGTGCTCACATCAGAATGAAGAGTGCTCCACTATGCATCCTTGTAAACAGAAAGATCCACAGGCCCCTTACAGGAAGAGGTGTCACATGACAGACTTCTGGCCTAATTTCAAGGCTTACCTCAGCAACAAATATATTTCTGGGACAGGGCTGCTCGAGTGGCGGGGCTGAACACCACCCTATTCAGTATGGTACAGTGTTAATACAGTGGTATCTCTGGTTACGAACTTAATTCGTTCCGGAGGTCCGTTCTTAACCTGAAACTGTTCTTAACCTGAAGCACCACTTTAGCTAATGGGGCCTGCTGTGCCGCCACACGATTTCTGTTCTCATCCTGAAGTAAAGTTCTTAATCCGAGGTACTACTTCCGGGTTAGCAGAGTCTGTAACCCGAAGTGTTCGTAACCCGAGGTGTTTGTAACCCGAGGTACGACTGTACTAGATTAGCAAAATTCATGGCGTGCAAGGAAGGGGTGGTGTTTCTTGTCACTATTTCCCACCTTTTTACAATTAGCCTTTCCACTCTGATCAAGTACAGCAATAATAACACCTAAGTTGCTTTGAAGATGACATATCACAAATAAAAATCATTGGCAAAAATATAGGGTGGGGGGAATCCACATTTTAGAGCAGCACAGCACTGGGACCTGATTGTTCCTACAATGCATCAAGCACTTTTATCCACCAGGGCCCATTCCAACTCCCTCTCTGTTTGTCTCTTTCCTAGATTGCCAACTCTTGAAATAAAAAAGCTGGCTCCTGGGTAGAACCTAGCAGCAGAACTGGGGCTACATGTTTTTGGTTGCCATACGTCCCAAATTTCTTGTACATAGCCGGTATTCAGCTTTCGTAAACAGCATCTAGGCTGAAATCCAGACGTATGGCAGCTCATGTTGGCAGTGTAGATTTTGGCAAACTTCATTGAAATTGGCTCTAAAACACTCAACTATGCCCCAAAAAGCTCAACAAGTTTTGTGTCTTGAGGACACACATGTATACGAGCAGTAATTATCGCATAAGCCCTCCTGGTCAGTTGTTCAGGAGCTTCAAAAGCTTTCTCCAGTGACTGATACCAAGAGGCATCAGCACACTTAGGGATCCTGCAGAGTATTAGCAGTTCGTGTAACAGACTCAATAGCTCAGCATTTTGGCTAATCTACTTTATTTACATATAATACACTTGGAGCATTCTGACTTAGCTCCTTCCTCTTTCTCATCAGACAGCAAAGAAAAAGAAACAAAGGACAGTAGTCCCACATCACGGAACACAGTAATAAAAACATCCTGTCTCTGTCACTTCCCACTATGTGGAATGAAAACATATACCATCATGTGATAGGAAACAATCCCATGACTGTAAACACGGAGCAAGAATCCTAACAAATTACCCCGCCCCCATTACTGAGGGAGAAAGTCCCCTCGTGAGATCATATGCCCTAGCTTTCCGCTTGTACCTCTATGCCAGGGGTGCGGAACCTCAGGTCTGGGGGCTTCTCCCAAGGCAACGCACCCAGGCCGCAACCACATGCTTCACTGCCCCACTTCACACCCTGGGTTTTTTTGCTTGGAGAGCCAGTGTGGTGTAGCGATTAAGAGCGGTAGACTCGTAATCTGGGGTACCGGGTTCGCGTCTCCGCTCCTCCACATGCAGCTGCTGGGTGACCTTGGGCTAGTCACACTTCTCTGAAGTTTCTCAGCCCCACTCACCTTACAGAGTGTTTGTTGTGGGGGAGGAAGGGAAAGGAGAATGTTAGCAGCTTTGAGACTTCTTAGGGTAGTGATAAAGCGGGATATCAAATCCAAACTCTTCTTCTTCTTCTTGGTTTGAACATGTCGTTGAACACACATTTCCCAAAATAAATATGCATTCTGCACTTGGTTATAAAATGCTACTGTCAGCTATCAGCGCCCCCTGGCATGAACACAGACAGAAATGAATCTGGTTGTGGTGTCGTGAACAACTGGAAAACACTGGGGAAGAACAACTTCACAGCACTCTAAGGCAGTAATGTGAACACACCCTCAGTTGTGTGAAGAAGCTAGCCTACTGTACAAAGATAAAACCACATGCATTGCGCTATCTTCTTTTGCCTCTTTCTGGCCCTGCCCACCATCAGCATGGTGGTTGCACGGAAGAGAATGACGCATTCAAACTGAAAAAGCTTCCCTGCTGCTCCTCTACACTACTTTTATTGAGGATTTGCTCTTAGCAGATGCAATTAGCAACACTAAGTTTTCCTCACTGATTTCGAGTTGAACATTTTAGTGAGTGCATACCAGGGAGCCTTTGAGATCCCCCCTCAGCATAACTGAGCCTCAATGTTATTGGTTTTGCAGGAGTGAGCAAACCCTGTGTGTTCACTCAAATCTCAAATATCCGCTGGTTTTGCCAACCTGACAGATGTGACCATATGCTCTCCCTGGTCATAATTGCTTCTTCAACCTAATGGTTGTTAACCTTTGCCGGCAGCCATTTTGTTGAGGGCATGGCAGACAAAGATCCCTCACAAGAAGCACATCATTAAGCACAGATGCTACTACTCTGAGGAAAAAGAAGAAACAGAAGTCGCTCATGGAGGAGTGGAGAAACCTCCCATGCCCTGGGTGCCTTAGTGTGGTCACATTAGCACCATAAATTTAAAGTACTATGATACTACTTTAAACCATCATGGCTTCCCCCAAAGGATT